GACACGTGTGATAGCAGCGTGCTGTTATCAGTGAAACCTTGAGTGAAACCAAACACCACCCTGATCTCAACCAAGGCAATGTCAACACAATTAGAATTCATAGTCGGCGTGTGAATAAGGGAGCTTTTCCCATATTATGGACATCAGAAGGTGAGAGTTCCAGTTAGCGCCTCTGCCCCACCCCACTTTCAATGGGATATGGTTGCTTAGCCCACATTCAACCAACGAAGAGGAACATTATTTGCTAATTCCTAATTGTAAATATTTTATGCAGAGGTAAGAACCCTTATCGATAAAATTAATTTAAATAACTGCTTAAATAACAAAGTGAAGAATGCTGAATTGTACATTGCGGAGCAGAGTGTCAAGGCGAAGCATCAAAGCCTGACAGTAGGTATTCATCTTGCAGTCAGACTTGAAACTTGAGACTGGCTGTATTAGCCTGTAAATTGGCCAAGACCCTGGTCTTCCAATTTCCATGCAATATGGATGATTTGAATTGTGGATACGGATATACGGATTTTTTTGAATGTGCTACTGCTTCTCGATGAGACGAACACACTGGTGGTCGAATTTTTCAAATCGGACCATAAACAAAGATTTTACAGGGTACGCAGTATTTTGACCTCTCAAGGTCAAACGGTTTGACCTAGGAAAAAAAGGTCATCATTTTCGAACTCAGCGTGCCATGGGCTATCTGTTTGCCAATTTTGAGCGAAATCATTACTCGAATTTGAATCCGAATACGAATACGACGCTAGCTTTATGGACATGCAATATGGATGAAATAAATTAAGCTTGATTAGTGATTAATATTGATTTCTTTAGAGTTTTGATATTTTTAAGTGCGATCACGAAGGCAGTGTAATTGCTCACTCCATAGCTAGCTCATAGCTGAAGCATCAAATCCTGAGTTAATTTCCAAGCATGAACTGAAAAGAAGTAGAACTGGATCAGCTCAGCTCAGCTAAATCAGCTCAGCTCAATCAGCTCAGCTCAGCTCGCTCAGCTCAGCTCAGCTCAGCTCAATCAGCTCAGCTCAGCTCAGCTAAATCAGCTCAGCTCAGCTCAATCAGCTCAGCTCAGCTCAATCAGCTCAGCTCAGCTCAGCTCAGCTCGCTCAGCTCAATCAGCTCAGCTCAGCTCGCTCAGCTCAGCTCAGCTCAGCTCAGCTCAGCTCAGCTCAGCTCAAGCTCATTCAGCTCAGCTCAGACAGCAGCTCAGCTCAATGCATTACTGAGCCGGCTCAGCTCACAGCTCAACAATTTGGCAAAATGTTGAGCCGGCTCATGAGCTGAGCTGATTTTTGAGCCGGCTCAACTGAGCTGATCACAAGTCTGGTCCGCAGAGGAGCCGACACGAACAAGGCGCAGGCCTGCTATAATGACTGTGAACACAGGAAGTGAGTCCGCTGTGCCAGCGTCTTGCAGCGGCGCTAAGATGTTGGCCGACGCCACGAATGTGCTGGCCAGGTTGTGAATTTGTAAAAATTTGACCTGTGTGCAACCAGTAAATTTGTGAATATATTCAGTGTCCAATGTAATTCATTTTGTCGTGCAGGCATTATAAAGGTTGAATTGGAGAATAATGAAGAGGCGAGGGGGTTGCGGTGGCGCAAGCAAAGTGGTCGCATCTGCATAACAGCAATCTGCGGTTATAAGACTGCGGTTAATATGCCAGATACCTGCGGTATTCCCGAACCGGCCGTGCGGGCCGAGTTGGGACATCCCGATCGGGATCGGAGTTCATCGCTTGTTAAAATGCCATAAGGCGATTCGGATGCGTGCGGGATTTCCGAACCGGTTGTGCGGGGAGATTTGGGGAATCCCGATCGGGATCGGAGTTAAGCGCTTGTTAAAACGTCATAAGGCGGTCCGGATACGTGCGGGATCTCCCAACCGACCGTGCGGGGTAGGTTGGGATATCCGGACCGTTCCAGCCCGTACAAAGTGTCTCATTTCCCAATCCTGTCCCACTCCGGTCCCGATCGGGGTGGTGCGGGCTGAGTCCGAAAAAACCCGATCGGGAACGGAGTGGGATTGCTGGCTGGGACCCCCCCCCTCGCGATTGGCTCCTATGGCACCTAGAAACACCAAATTTGATAGGTAGGTGGGCCCCTTGGAGTTCTCGCCCCTGTGCAAATTTTATTGCTCTAGGTCAATATTTAGGGGGGTTTTGGGGGGTATAAATGTAAAAATTTCGCTAAAAACAGGTCAAAAGTTTTTCACTTATAACTTTTGATCTAATTAAGATAGAGTAAAACGAAAAGCACCAGTGAACTCAGCACGTCAAGGCGCGTCGAATGATATACTTTAAGTGTACTTAGCTCCCTCGTAGCTTGCTTAAGTGTACTTAAAGTTTTTCTTAAATTTTAAGTAAACTTAAATTAATAAATTAAGTTAAAGTTAACCAAATTGCATCATATCGCATATCATGCGATTCGGCTGATCACCAGGAACACAATGATACCATTTTTAAGCTCTAGCGTCATTATGTGCCAAGTTATTGGCAAAAACGTCATTTGACCTCAGTTGACCTCATTTGACCTGACCCATGGATAAGTACTCCAAACAAAGAAGCACCAAGTGACCTGCTGTTAAGTACTGTGGTTTCAAAGCACAAAAGTGATAGAATGAAGCGGATATCTCCAGTATTTTCCGAATTTAGTATTTTCCCATAGGCTTAACATTACGACGTAATGACCTCTAACTGACCTCAGGTCAGTGACCTCAAAAAACCCGAACTATATGTTATACAACTCGGTGACCTTAGCACATCCTGAAAGTTTGAAGGAAATCAGTGCAAAACTGTGAGTTGGACAGGTGCAAAAAGAAATTGAAATTTGACCATGACATTGTACCGGTTTTTCTGACCTGGTGACCTGACCCAATGTCACCCGGACCTGAAATTTTCAGGTCATATGTAAAAAGGCTGCGTCATAGGCTGTGCCAAATTTGGCGGCGCTGCGCGCCGCCGTTTTTACGCTATCTTCGAAAAACCTTAGGGGGGTCGCATCGACCCCCCCCCCCTGCCAGGGCGAGGGTTAAGTTCATAAACGATACCTACTTCGAAAGATAACAGGTGACTTGTCTTCCATACCCTTCTTGATAAAATGGTCATTGACACAGTGCGATTAGCTTTTTAATGTTGTTGATAGTTTGGAAATTAGAGTGGAATATTCAAAATTAATGCATGATTTTTAACCCGCGCACCGACGGGGGTCTGCGCCAACTTCGCACCGACGGGGGGGGGGCGGATGACCGCCCCCCCTGAGATCTCGAGAACGAAGCAAGATAGCGACAAGCGGTAAACGGCATCGGATACGCACGGCCAAGATCTACAATTTTTACTAAGGTCATTTTCAGGTCAGGTCAAAGATGACGTCACAGGGGTCGAAAAAGTCAAAATGGCGGCGCTAGATGTGGAGAGAGTTTTTCTCGAATAACTTTCGAATTAGTCAAGATAGGAACAAACTAAGGGCATCATCGTGATCCTCTCGTCAATCCGCATCGAATGATATATATGTTGACCTCGAAAGGTCAAGGTCAAAGGTTGACCTCAGGTCACGTGACCTCGAGGTCATCATGTATATCATTCGATGCGTCTTGACGAGCTGAACACAATGAGACCATCCACGCGTCTGTAGCTTGTTCCTGTACGGAGTTATTGGCCAAAAACCTTTGGTGACCTTTGATGACGTCACATGACCTCACAGCTGCCCAACAGCAAAACAGACCTCAAGGTAGTGAAGGTTGATCGTATATGAAGTCATGTAAAGTGTATGGGGCCATTCCGACCCGTTTTAGTGGTAAAAACAGGGAGTTGATTTTTCCCCCATTGACTTATAATGGGGAGGTCGCGAAATTGACCTGACCTTAGGTCACCGATATCAAAATTCCGAGATAGACAAATTGTAGCTACTAATGACCTTATAATATCCTGCGACTTTCAAAGGCCTCCGTCATCTACTGTAGCTGTGGCACGGTGACAAAGTTGCAAAAAAGTGACTTGAGGTTGGGTCATTCAAAGTGACATGGTGACCTGACCTTAAAAGGTAGGAAGTTCAAACTTGCACACTATGTGTAAAATTAATGAGGTTATAGTCATACCAAATTTCGCGGCGCTACGCGCCGCGGTTTTCCCGCTATTCGCGAAAAACCTCAGAGGGGGCGGATATCCGCCCCCCCCCCCGTCGGTGCGCGGGTTAAAGGGACACTCCCACCTTAACATTAGTTTTGAGGTGAGATAGCCAAATTGGTGGCCATGGCCTGCAAATACCGGTTTGGGCACTCACAACATCGACAAATGCTTTAATTCGGAGATATGGAATTTCAAACTTGCAGTTTTCGGATTCTAAGGGGCTAGTGCATTGGTATGCCCCCTTAGAATTTGTGACGTCAGCGGAGATCTAACGATTTTTAAATCTTTTACTAAAACGTTTGGTAGCACGCGGTGGTATATGCTGCTTTGCGCGCAACAAATGCCGCACTTTCAAATAAAGTCGCTAGGAACAGCGGAGATCCCAAAAAGTAAACAAAAGTAAAAGTCTAATATCTTGAAAAACCGGTGAATATTTTTCGATGAAATTTGGTAGATATTCGTTTTCGCTCTTTCTGAACCGAGCGACATCACTTTCGTGCCAATTCATTAACTTTTTTGAAGGTGGGAGGGTCCCTTTAAACGAAAGTCTATAGCATAGCATATGTAGTCCCGTTTATCTGATGAGCTCACCAAACGGGATAACTAGATCTTGAGAGTGTGGAAGTGTAAAAAGTCATTCATGGTTCCTTTCTCCTCGTTAACGAACATCTTTTTTTCGTTCACGATGTATCAGCACTACCTGTGTTACGTGGTAAGCGTCCACATGTCGCATGTGCTTTACATAACCTGACAAGACGAATTACGTAACAAGTGCTGGACATATCAAACATCTGCCAAGTTCTCAGCATTCTCACTCCCGAAGTCAATAACGATATCATCCCACCATACATCGCAGCAGTCTTCGTCAAGCTTCCCTTCTGGCCAGTTGTGCTCGTTCTGTTCTCGCACTGCTCTGGCAGACGCCGTCGCATGACCATGATGACGTCCATAGCCCTCCTGGTGACGCTCTTCGGCGTCAGCACCGCCATCGTCATCCCTCCGGAGACGCCGGGCGATGACCCCGTGGCCATCGTTATCGTCCAGGGCGCCTACGTCTACCCGGAGCAATACCGTGAGTTCGGCCTGGCACTGCAGAGAGCCTCGGACGCGCCGCTCTGGGTCGGCATCGCAGAGGGATTCCTGGATAACTTTCCAAACCCTCTGCAAATCAACGCCAAGATCAACAAGGTCCTGGGGGAGATGAGCGATGCAGGTATGCCGGAGGACGCCGCTATCTTCCTGTCCGGACATAGTGTCGGAGGAGTGTTCATCCAGTCAGAGATTCCCACGATTCCTGCCGTGGGACTGCTCCTGTTCGGTTCGTACCTGACGACTCCGCTGGCCGAGTACCCGGTGCCGGTGCTGCACCTCAGCGGCACGCTGGACGGACAAACCAGACCCACCCGCATCGCTGAGACGTTCGCCGAGCTCCAGGCCATGACGGAGGCCGAGCCAGATGCGCCGATCCGAAGGCCCGTCGCTATTCTCGAGGCTGTTGATCACGCCCATTTCTTCACTGGAGAGCTCCCTGATGCTGTCGCCGAGGGTGACATCCTGTCGGAGCTGGACGGCGACGAGGCGCGCCGGCAGCTGGCGGAGCAGAGTGTGGCGTTCATGGAGGTGGCCCGCACCGGACCGGCGGCCGACCAGGCTGCCGACATTCTCCGCGAGTCCTTCAACAGCACGGGCCAGTTCCTGGCGCCGCTGTTCGACCTGCAACAGCTCGAGGCGGACGGAGACAGCTCCGAGTGGGCCCGGTTCGCGCAGACCTTCCTGCTCAACATCGCCGGCGACTCGGTGGCCCTGGAGGTGGAGAGCACCCACGTGCCGGACCTGACGACGCTGGAAAGCCGCCACTGGTCCGTCAACGTCACCCAGGACCCGCCTCAGGCCAGCGTGCACATGTACTCATCCGTGGAATCGACGTTCAACCCTCTGGACAGCTCGGCGAACCCCGTCACCAGCTCCGAGATTGCCGTGAAGATGACATCCCAGGAAAACCTGGCGTCCCTCCTGCCCTCTGCTCAGTTCGGTGAGAACCGCAGCTGCCTCGACATCAACCAGGCGGCAATGTCGTCGGCCCTGGCTGCCGCGCCTGATACTGTTCGAGAGCGCTACAACCGCCGAGGCAAGCCGGTTACCTATCTTGCTGACCACTCGGTGGGCGCTGGACCTCTGTGGGTCCAGGAGCGGCTGAGGCTCAACTACACGACTGACAGTCTCCAGGTTCAGTCTATAACATTGAAGACGGCGCCAGGCTCTTTCATTTATCCCGGCAGCCAGTATTGTAAGCTGTTGACACCGTCCCGCGCCCTCGAGTACATTATGACTGATGGTCTGCGCGGCACACAGCCCTGAATGTGTCATCCTCATCGTGCGTCTTATGCCTGGCGTGCATTGTATGTTATGTCTGTTACATATTGTTTGAAAGGTTGCGCTTTTATCCCCAATAAATATTGATAATGTAAACTTGTGGTCTTGATGAGTGCACAGCATGCTTCAACATTTTTGTGGCAGTGTTTTACTGGAGATAAACGCTGACATTTGATAATCACAGTTAACCCGGCGTTTGACCTGGCTTTGAAAATGATCAAAGTAATTGCGCATGTGGGTGTATACACTATACATACATATTACATATAGTATGTATAGAGCCCTTTCCTTGCCCTCATCCTAAAATCGGACACCCTCTGATACAGATTCCAATCCATCATAGTATTTTTATAGGTGGAAAATAAAGACACCTCATTTCTGATTAGGGCAAACATTGAAGATCCTTTCATTTTCAATTTCACCGAAACTGCTGCGTTTCATGCTAATTATGACATTGTCTCTGAACGAATAAAACTGATGTTTCCGTAGCTCTTGCGTTTATCATGCAAATATTGCTCACGCCATTGATGAGGACGTATGACAAGTCTTCACGCTTATCTGCCGTCTGAATTTCTCCGTCAGAATTTTCATCAGCTCAGTGGTTTGACCTCTAGAGGTCATAAAACGTCAAAAGAAATAATTTTCCGTGGCCATTTCCTCGTACTACTTATCATTCTACATACGTACTTGCCAGACGAAAAGAAATATTACAGCATAAAATGTTTTTCACATACCACGTCAGAAGACCGATCAAGTCAGAGAGGAGCAAATCACATGTTTCGACTATGAAAAGATGCTATTAAACATCGACTAAAATATCAAGGAGCCATTATGAAGTATCAGTTTCATTTTGACGACCACGACTTCTCGGGTATCGTTTGCCGCTACAAAATGATCCGAGAGTCGTGTGAGAGGGAGAGGGGGCGTTAAACAGACCGTACCCAAATGCAACTCTGCGGGCAGAGCCCTTGGCTTGGCTTAGCGTCTTCGAACTCGATGCACAGCGAGTCGTGAAATATTGAAACCCATGCGGATATAATAATATCAAATCAACTGATAAAACTTCGCATAATCGCTTTACCTTTACCTTGGCGTTAACGACGAATTTAATTATTTCTTTAGGCAATGACACACAGCTTAATAAGTTCAATCAATGTAAGCTCGGTATTCCATTTTGTTGTCGAACGAACTTGTAGAACAATTTCAACATCTAACACAATTACATCAGATTAACAAATTAAGTACGACAGTACATTGGTGCACTGATTCTTATGCTAGCGATTTCGTCAGCACAGTCATAAGTCCGACCCGAGACCGTCACAACTGACAGCCAAAGGTGGTCGTACTGAGGAATTAGCCCTTACCGGACTAGAACAAGATTTAGGAGTACCTCACTATACCATAGTGCCAATGTTATTATGTATACGGTGCATGTTACGCATTTATTACGATCCTCTTGGGCCATCTTATGTCTGTCCCGAAGTACCACGAGTTACATAACCTTGGTGGTTATCAGCTGCTGCACCGTGACACACCCAGCCAGTCCCTGGTGTGCGAATCTCACGGTGAGCCAGCTCTTGGCGAAACACGTGTGAACGTCTCATGCCGGCTCCATCCGTCGGTCCACATTGCGTCATTCAGGGACACGAGCTCCGGTAGCGCCGGCACCTCTGCACCTGCAGTACCCGTCCCGCCTAGCCAGCAGTTACTAAACGGTCTCTCAGTACTGACGACAGTCGGCGGGATGGTGACGTCTATAGCCCTTCTGGTGACGCTCTTCGGCGTCAGTGCCGCCATCGTCATCCCTCTGGAGACGCTGGGTGATGACGCCGTGGCGATCGTCATCGTGCAGGGTACGTACGTCTACCCGGAGCAGTACGTCACGCTGGGTGAAGCGCTGCAGGCGGCGTCAGCAGCCCCGCTCTGGGTCGGCATCGCCGAGGGATTCTACAAGAACGAGCCGAACCTGATACAGATCCGGGCGGCTATCCACGAGGTGCTGACCAACATGACGGCGGCGGGCCTTCCGGAGACTGCCGATCTCTTCCTCGCCGGGCACAGCCTGGGCGGCGTCTGGGTGCAGCGCGTCGTGGACGACTTCCCGGCCACAGGGGTCATCATGTTCGCCTCGTACCTGACGACTCCGCTGGCCGAGTACCCGGTGCCGGTGATGCACCTCAGTGGTACGCTGGACGGACAAACCAGACCCACCCGCATCGCTGAGACGTTCGCCGAGCTCCAGACCATGACCGAGACCGAGCCAGATGCGCCGCTCCGAAGGCCCGTCGTCCTGCTCGAGGCTGTCGATCACGCCCATTTCTTCACTGGAGAGCTGCCGGTTTCCGTGGCGGAGAACGACATCCTCTCGGAGCTGGATGGCGAAGAGGCGCGCCGGCAGCTGGCGGAGCAGAGCGTGGCGTTCATGGAAGTGGCCCGCGCCGGACCGATGGCCGACCAGGCTGCCGACATTCTCCGCGAGTCCTTCAACAGCACGGGCCAGTTCCTGGCGCCGCTGTTCGACCTGCAGCAGCTCGAGGCGGACGGAGACAGCTCCGAGTGGGCCCGGTTCGCGCAGACCTTCCTGCTCAACATTGCCGGCGACTCGGTGGCCCTTGAGGTGGAGAGCACCCACGTGCCGGACCTGACGACGCTGGAGAGCCGCCACTGGTCCGTCAACGTCACCCATGACCCGCCCCAGGCCAGCGTGCACATGTACTCATCCGTGGAGATTCCACCTAATCCGTTTGACATTTCGCTGGACCCAACGACCAGCTCCGAGATTGCCGTGAAGATGACATCCCAGGAAAACCTGGCGTCCCTTCTGCCCCCTGCTCAGTTTGGTGAGAACCGCAGTTGCCTCGACATCAACCAGGCGGCACTGTCGTCGGCCCTGGCAGCGGCCCCCGAAACTGTTCGGGAGCGCTACAACCGCCGAGGCAAGCCGGTTACCTATCTTGCTGACCACTCGGTGGGCGCTGGACCTCTGTGGGTTCAGGAGCGGCTGAGGCTCAACTACACGACTGACGGTCTCCAGGTTCAGTCTATAACATTGAAGACGGCGCCAGGCTCTTTCATTTATCCCGGCAGCCAGTATTGTAAGCTGTTGACACCGTCCCGCGCCCTCGAGTACATTATGACTGATGGTCTGCGCGGCACACAGCCGTGAATGTGTCCTCCTCATCGTGCGTCTTATGCCTGGCGTGCATTGTATGTTATGTCTGTTACATATGGTTTGAAAGGTAACGCCTTTATCTCCAATAAATATTGATAATGTAATATTGTGGTCTTGGTGAGTGCACACTGCACAGCATGCTTCAACATTTTTGTGGCAGTGTTTTACTGGAGATAAACGCTGACATTTGATAAACTGCAGTTAAACCGGCTTTTGACCTGGCTTTGAAAATGATCAAAGTTGCGCACATGGGTGTATACATGTAGAGCCCTTTCCATACCCTCATCCTAAAATTGGACACCCTCTGAGACAGATCCCAATCCATCATAGTATTTTTATAGTTGGAAAATAAAGACACTCATGTCTGATTAGGGCAAATGTTGAATTAACGTTTTATGCTAATTATGCATTGTCTCTGAACGAATAAAAAATGATTTTCCGTAGGTCTTGCGTTTATCATGCAAATATTGATCACGCCATTGAATGAGGACGGATGGCAAGTCTTCACGCTGATCTGCCGTCTGAATTTCTCCGTCAGAATTTTCATCAGCTCAGTGGTTTGACCCCTGGAGGTCATAAAACGTCAAAAGAAATAATTTCCGTGGCCATTTCCTCGTATTACTTATCATTCTACATACGTACCTGCGAGATCAAAAGAAATATTACAGCATAAAATATTTTTCTCATACCATGCCAGATGACCCATCAAGTCAGAGAGGAGCAAATCACATGTTTCGACTATGAAAAGATGCTATTAAACATTGACTAAAATATCAAGGTGCCACTATGAGGTATCAGTTTCATTTTGACGACCACGACTTCTCGGGTATCGTTTACCGCTACAGAATGATAGGTGAGTCGTGTGAGAGAGAGGGAGAGGGGTCGTTTAACAGACTGTACCCAAATGCCGTGGCAGAGCCCTTGGCTTGGCTTAGCGTCTTCGAACTCGATGCACAGTGACTCGCGAAATTTTGAAATCCATGCGGATATAATAAGATCAAATCAACTGACAAAACTTGGCATAATCGCTTTAACTTTACCTTGGCGTTAACGATTAATTTAATCATTTCTTTAGGCAATGACACAAAGCTTAATAAGTTCTATCAATGTAAGCTCGGTATTCCATTTTGTTGTCGAACGAACTTGTAGAACAATTTCAACATCTAACACAATTAGATCAGATAAACAAATTAAGTACCTACGACAGTACCTTGATGCACTGATTCTCATGCTAGCGAATTCGTCAGCACAGTCATAGGTCCGACCGACCCGAGACCGTCATAACTGACAACCAAAGGTGGTCTTACTGAGGAATTAGCCCTTACAGGACTAGAACAAGATTTAGGAGTACCTCACTATACCATAGTGCCAATGTTATTATGTATACGGTGCATGTTACGCATTTATTACGATCCTCTTGGGCCATCTTATGTCTGTCCCGAAGTACCACGAGTTACATAACCTTGGTGGTTATCAGCTGCTGCACCGTGACACAGCCAGCCAGTCCCTGGTGTCCGAATCTCACGGTGAGCCAGCTCTCGGCGAAACACGTGCGAACGTCTCATGCGGTCTCCATCCGTCGGTCCACATTGCGTCATTCAGGGACACGAGCTCCGGTAGCGCCGGCACCCCTGCACCCAGTACCCGTCCCGCCTAGCCAGCAGTTACTAAACGGTCTCTCAGTACTGACGACAGTCGGCAGGATGGTGACGTCTATTGCCCTTCTGGTGACGCTCTTCAGCGTCAGTGCCGCCATCGTCATCCCTCCGGAGACCCCGGGCGATGACGCCGTGGCGATCGTCATCGTGCAGGGTACGTACGTCTACCCGCAGCAGTACGTCACGCTGGGTGAGGCGCTGCAGGCGGCGTCATCGGCGCCACTCTGGGTCGGCATCGCCGAGGGATTCTACAAGAACGAGCCGAACCTGATACAGATCCGGGCGGCCATCCACGAGGTGCTGACCAACATGACGGCGGCAGGCCTGACGGAGACTGCCGATCTCTTCCTGGCCGGGCACAGCCTGGGCGGCGTCTGGGTGCAGCACGTCGTGGACGACATCCCGGCCACAGGGGTCATCATGTTCGGTTCGTACCTGACGACTCCGCTGGCCGAGTACCCGGTGCCGGTGTTGCACCTCAGCGGCACGCTGGATGGACAAACCAGACCCACTCGCATCGCCAAGACGTTCGCCGAGCTCCAGACCATGACCGAGACCGAGCCAGATGCGCCGATCCGAAGGCCCGTCGTCCTGCTCGAGGCTGTCGATCACGCTCACTTCTTCACTGGAGAGCTGCCGGTTTCCGTGGCGGAGAACGACATTCTCTCGGAGCTGGATGGTGACGAGGCGCGCCGGCAGCTGGCGCAGCAGAGCGTGGCGTTCATGGAGGTGGCCCGCGCCGGACCGGCGGCCGACCAGGCTGCCGACATTCTCCGCGAGTCCTTCAACAGCACGGGCCAGTTCCTGGCGCCGCTGTTCGACCTGCAGCAGCTCGAGGCGGACGGAGACAGCTCCGAGTGGGCCCGGTTCGCGCAGACCTTCCTGCTCAACATCGCTGGCGACTCGGTGGCCCTTGAGGTGGAGAGCACCCACGTGCCGGACCTGACGACGCTGGAGAGTCGCCACTGGTCCGCCAACGTCACCCAGGACCCACCCCAGGCCAGTGTGCACATGTACTCATCCGTGGAGATTCCACCTAATCCGTTCGACATCTCGCTCGACCCAACGACCAGCTCCGAGATTGCCGTAAAGATGACATCCCAGGAAAACCTGGCGTCCCTTCTGCCCCCTGCTCAGTTTGGCGAGAACCGCAGTTGCCTCGACATCAACCAGGCGGCACTGTCGTCTGCCCTGGCTGCCGCGCCTGATACTGTTCGGGAGCGCTACAACCGCCGAGGCAAGCCGGTTACCTATCTTGCTGACCACTCGGTGGGCGCTGGACCTCTGTGGGTCCAGGAGCGGCTGAGGCTCAACTACACGACTGACAGTCTCCAGGTTCAGTCTATAACATTGAAGACGGCGCCGGGGTCTTTTATTTACCCCGGTAGCCAGTATTGTAAGCTGTTGACACCCTCCCGAGCCCTGGAGTACATTATGACTGATGGTCTGCGTGGCACACAACCGTGAAGAAGCGTGGCATGTGAAATAATTTTGCTAGTCAACGCTTCATGTTCATGCTTATGCGTGTCGCGAGAGGACGTTTCTAGATAACGATTGTAATTTGTTAATTTGTAAGTAAACATGCAACGTAAGAATTAAAGGGACCCTCCCACCTTCAAAAAAGTTAATGAATTGGCATGAAAGTGATGTCGCTCGGTTCAGAAAGAGCAAAAACGAATATCTACCAAATTTCATCGAAAAATATTCACCGGTTTTCAAGATATTAGACTTTTACTTTTGTTTACTTTTTGGGATCTCCGCTGTTCCTAGCGACTTTATTTGAAAGTGCGGCATTTGTTGCGCGCAAAGCAGCATATACCACCGCGTGCTACAAAACGTTTTAGTCAAACATTTAACGGACGTTCGAAAGCCTGATGACGTCATCAGATTCCCGTAATGGTTAAGAGATAGGGACCACGCTGGTCCCACCCTGCAAGTAAAAGGAAGAAATTTCTTGAACACCATAAAGCTGCGGGGGTTGCAACCAGGATAAATGGTGGTTTCTGAGCCTGGCCGCAAACTTGGCTATCTCAACTCAAAACTAATGTTAAGGTGGGAGGGTCCCTTTAAATATTTTCCGTTTGTTTTGACCCGATAAATTTAATTAAAAGCCAGAGTCTGTGCTGAAAGAGAAGCCCTTCTAATTCACGAATTATTAGTCAAGCTATGAAGGTAATACTATACTTACCTTATCGATTGTTTGTACATATTTATTTGTTAAAATTATTTGTATTCGCCTATTGCCGTTTGTCCTGAATAAAACCGCTGAATAAAGTGAGTGATGCTGCGATACTTTTTACTCCGCGTGACTGTTTCTACACTGACTCGAAAAAGGGATTATCACTCGGTTCGTCAAACAGTGTTGCTGGGGTTGCTGGTTATACCGGAATGGTGTGCTACAAAAACTTTTAAACACTTGCCAGGCTAAAGGTTGCCATACCCAGCTTTACGAATCACGTAGGCATTAATCTGGAATAAAAGCAATGTTATAAACAACGTATATTTCGTCACCAATCAAACAGCGCAACATTCGATTAACACTCAACATGCATGCCTTGTGATTTGGCTCTCTCGATCACTACTTTGACATCGCCAGTGTACGGTATAAGAGATCGCCTTCCTTTGAACAGGAGTTTCATTAGAGTTCAACAATACACGTAAATAGATGTTCACCATGGCTGTGTAATACCGTTACCCATTCTACCTCCCTTCAACAGGTCCGCATGCACAGCCCCTGGATGAAGTAGAAATTCAAATCAAACGATGATGGTCTCAGGCGATTATTTCCACTCTGTGATAAGAAAAACTCGATGATCGTTTACGTTTCCCTTCGTTCGGCTAGAGGAGGGCTAGCCTATGATGCGTTGCGCTAGCCTATATAAGACATTGTCCATCGCCATTGACTTGAATATCAAGTGAAATATTCAATAAAAGGGAAACATTTTGAGCTTCTTATTGGACAAAAAACTAAAGCAGATATAGTAAAATGTTATCAAATGCCTGCTGCCTGTCACGTAGGTATGACTTCAAACGGTAAGCTCCAGGTGGTTTGAAGTGTTTTGAACTAAATTATTATGAAAGGGACAAAGTACCTATTACCATATGAGCCTTGTGAGCGGCTTCGTAAGCCCATGGCTGCATGGTGGAACAGTCACACACTTGGACCCGCGACATGATCGATAAGTGGAAGTGAGCAGCCGGGCTGCTGCGGCAACATCAGCCATCATCCGCAGCGTAAACATTACACAGAGGGCGCGGCGAGCGAGCGCCCTCATCAGCAGCGTGCGCCGCTGAGCGCCCCGTCATCCCACACCGTGCGTCTCACCGAGCACTTCCATCTGTAGCTGAGCTTAGAGTCCCAGCTGTAGGTCGGGGCGGCCTCCAGTCCGTCATCCAGCTTCCTCCGATCGGGGAGGAGCAGGGAGGCGCCGCCATCACACGGCGATGGTGAAGTTGCGTTTGATGCCGTTCAGCGTGCACGCCCGGTAGTGTTGCTCCTCGTCGCGAGGCTGCACGCCGGCCGGCAGCAGGCGCGGAAGACTGGCGTTGGGAGGGGGCGGCGGCCGACCGGCGGGGCCCGGGCCCGGCCACTCCAGCTCAGGCAGCTCGGCCTCGTGGAAGCTAGCGCGGGCCGCCGCCGCCGAACGACGGTGGCGCCGCCGTCTGCAGCGACGGGACACACATCGGCGAGGCTGTCACAATGGCTTATGGCACACACCTATATCGCGCTGTGGTAAGTTTTTATTACAAGTAAATGAGCCAACTCGTGTTGCCAACGGATTCACATAAGGTATGCAAAATTCACATAAGCTTAGATAAAGGAGTAGCTCGAGAGACGAGAACGAGGTCATCAGACAATGTAGCTCTATCATTGGAAAGGTTAGTAATTAGTATAGACGTTCGCTTCACTCAAGGGCTTTCTCGATTAGCTCAAGAGCACGTAAGGATACATTGATGAGTGACTCCTCACAGTATCTGTATCGTCTCACCTTCTGCGGGTGTGCGGCGGACTGCGGGCGCCGGACGGCCCGCCGTGCCGCCGCCACCGCTCCGGACGCGGCGACGAGTCCGTGTCGACGTCACCCGGCGACGCCTCGTCGTCCAATGTCGGAGACGACGGGGACGGCGGCCCCCCGTACCGGCGGCACTGATACACCTGGAACAGGGGTGGGGACAGTCATCGCTGGTGCCGGGACGGTATGTACCACGACCAGCGGAACGGGCATAGGGTGTCCTGGAGTATTTATCCCAAAACAGTGGTGGTGTAGTCTTGGACGTGGCATATGCCATGGACAGGCAGGGTAGCCGTCGATGGTTGACAAAAGACCACCATCGCCATTCGTATGCCACTCCTGACTCCAGAGCTGGGTTCGACATCGGCCGCATAACTAGTTGGTCAGTTCTGTGTCAGTTATTGCGTGCTCAACCATTGTTAGTCGGTTCAATCATTCGGTTCGGTTATCTCTGAGCTCGGCCCTCGCTCGTCGGTTCTGCGTCGCTCCCGGTCTCGCCCTCTCCGACTCACCCTGTCCATCTGCAGAGTCTCGGTGTGGTGGAGCGGAGCTCGACTGCGGTACTCGGTACCATCAGCAACGCGCGGCTCCGGTACCCCTGTCACCATGTACCCCGAGTACGGCCGCATGTCCTGAGGTACCGGTACAGCCGCCGGCGCCTGTCAACACGGAACACCCGTCAATTAGTGCCAACACACGGTGCATCATACGGTGTAATATGATAATGCAGAGTATTTCTAGACAGTATGTGAATGTCAGAGAGCGTAACGGGAAGGTGGGAAGGAGACGAAAACTACAGATCTACCGTCTGTAACAGCTCGCAGTGCATCTGTGATTGCGCTGAGTCACCTGCAGCGCGCCGGACGAGGTCGGGTTGGCCTTGTAGATGAAGTCGTACACCTGGCGCTGGCCGCCGCCGTCGCTGGAGCCGCTGCCGCAGCGCGCCCGGAACTGACCCGGGTGACGCCGGTAGCACAGACAGCCGGCCGTCACCAGCAGCAGACAGCTCACCGCCGAGAGCACAGCCGCCAGCAGCGGGCGCACGTACGGCTGGAGGCCGCCGCCGCCGCCGCCCGAGCCGCCGCCGCCCCCGCCCGAGGTACCCGACACCTCCAGATGTCCCGGAGAGCCGTGGGACGGCTGACCTGCGCGGGTACACGGGGATGTGGGTCGTGGTCAGGGTAGACAGGGAGTCTTTTCTTCAGTCATCAGTAGCGCACTGTGGCATGCTATTCCCTATTATTGATGGATTTCTCGAATCTCGATACCCTCTTTTTAGCATTTCACTACGTCAGCTAACTGACGCACTGGCGACTGAATTTCGATTCATAAAGAAAATAATTTCAGTCCTATGTATGTGGTAAAATATCAACATCGATCACCACAGGCACCCAAAATGTGCCCCCGTGCGGGCAGCTCGCAGGCGACGTACCGGCTCTGGGCAGCGTTCGCAGACGGTAGGTGGCGGTGCGGTTCCAGCCCAGCCCGACAGATGTCACTACCAGCTGGTAGCCGGTGTCCGGTCGCAGCTGGGTCAATGTCATCCGCGCGGCAGAGGTATGGATCGGCCCGACTGGAGGCAGAAGGCGGACGGACCGCTCACATGGTGCACGGCGGGATAGCAGAGTGGTCAACAGAGGGCAGAGGTAGCTCAATAAATGATGATGTAGACGTGGAAGTCACTGGGGTTACCGGTGGTCGCCCGTCTGATGTCTCCCTGTAGGTATTCTCATGTCTCACGGTCCTGACTTACTCGTATCTCAGAAGACTGAAAGAGCCTAATCCAGCAAAGCAAAACAAGGCTGTTCACAGCCAAAACCTAATCATAAAATGACTCGTGCTTAGTTACCGCGCACAATGCATATGGTGCACGATGTCCAACACCAGCTACTGCACACAACTCCTAGCATTATAACACTTTCCGTATAGCCCATAACATATCGACATCTGACACAAGGCAGCACGTCCCACAAATCCAGCTACATGTCATCTGACCCTACATCAAAGGCACATCTGTCACATTCCCTCCCTGAAACCCACCCCGGTCATGGCCGGCGCTCTCGGTTGCCCCGCCCATCCCTGTGCCGCCTCCGGGAGCGCGTCCCATTCCCGGTAATGGCTGCCACTGAGCCGGCCGGAATAGTGTCGTGCAAACAGAGGGTGTCGGCAGCCGGAGGCGGGGACGGAATACAGACGCCGGCCAAAAGTAAGCCGAAACGGCACGGCACGGAACGACCCGGCGGCTGGAGGGGCGTGAACGATGAAGCGACTCAGTGATGGAGTGGGATATAGGCAGCAGTCATGATATCTTATACAAAATAAACAATGTAATGGGGGGCAACTGAGGGAAGAAAAGTGTCTAAAAAATTTATTCTATCATGTATTTAAACCTTAAATACATTTGCGCTAACGATGGAGACGACACTATAACCGGGGAAAATGTAAAGTCCAAACTCCGATCCATATCGGATGAGTGTAGGTATATTTATGTAATAGTTCTCACTTCCCGTCTCTGCCGGCAGTTCTGTGATAACCCCCTGCCCTATGGATACGACCCGTGCCGAGAAGATGGTAGCCAATGCCTACCGTGTCGCTGAGAATTTACCTGGTCGGCGATGGCCGACCGGTCCAAAGGTGACGGTGAACCCCTCGACGGCACACTCGCCGTGCCACGGGTCGAAGTTGAGCTGCACGGCCGTCTGGTTGGCTGTGATGACCCGGTCGGGAGGCGGCAGGGGGCTCAGGTAGCCCCGGGTCGCCCTTTCCAGGACCAGGCCCGGCCCGCTCGAGCCCAGCCGGTTGGTCGCTGCAACAGAAGCAACGACGTGGTTAGTATGTAAGAGCTGACTGGTCTTGCCGATCAACACGCACATACCGATGCGTATGTGTAATACGAGAACGAAGAGACAAAGTAATGTGAAAGGAATTGAAACTATGAAGCTATGTACCATTCGGTTAGCTCTGCGACAAGCCCTTGCACATATAGTGAACCGTGGTTTATGTTAGCTCAATCAAATAGTTCAAGCTCAATCAAATAGGTCTCTATCAAATAAGCTCAATCAAAAAAGTTTCGATGCCAATCATGCCGGAAACAATGCATGCGTCGTGTTTGAAATTTATTGGAAAGCCGATTTGGAGTGGCCTCGGTCAATGTACTTGTTAGAAATATATCAGTCTTTCACGGTACTGATATTGTTTCAAAATTGTGTTCATTTGCTCGCATGCGGTGTCGTGACAAAGGGACTGCCTACGACAGTCTTCGTTGGCAACAGCAGAGACCTCACTTGAATGGCTGAGCAGCGCAACCGTGTGGGCTATAACCTTTTGAACTGCGACTGATGTATTTTCAGACTGGTGTGTCAGCGAACTCGTGAACTCTGGCGCAAGCGAAGCCCTTTACATTGAGCGGGAGTATCCGTTTTATAATTAGTTGCCTGCGCAAGGGAGCGAGGCTCTGAATTTGCTAACACAAAACTGCATCTGTTGAGTTACATTACGATTATTATTGCTAGAATACCCAGCAAAAAGAGCATACAATTAGCCCTAGAACGCCTAGGGGGGGGGGGGGTTGTATCAACCCCCCCCCCCTGAGGTTTTTTCGAAGTGCACGCTAAACGGCTTGTCGTAGCGGGCTGAAATTTTCAATACCCTCTGGGGCAACCTTTGCGCATCTTTTGCCGAAAACAAATTGATCGGGTCATGTCAGGTCACGGAGTTATGACGTCATAAGAGGTACAGCCTCCGGCCGACAGTTGGGGCATTCCACGATAGATCGTACCAGGCCCGTCACCCTCATCTCTCAGATTTTAATGAGAATCGGGCCTAGGGGTAATCATAGGCCCCAAAGACGCCTGGCAAAATATCAGACTTCTCAGATCAAAACTTTTTGAGTTATATTGCATTACATTTTTTAGCTTCGGTATGTAACGGTGAGTTTGATGGCCTATAACTCAAGAACGGGTTAAGCAACCAACAAAAAGTAAACAACACTAAGCTTGCGATGAATCAAAAATTAATATTACTATTTAAAAATTCCAAAGAAAAAATTTCATTGTTGAGCAAAAACCTTAATCTTTTTTCATTTGCCTCTAATGACTTTTGGGACCAAAATTTTTCACATTTTTATTTTTTCAAAATAATCTTCATGTCATTGCAAATCGACATGCAAAAAATTAGAAAGGTGTTCTTTCTATAAGTTCCTCATTTTCCCGCAAACAAAATGGGTTTCGGAGGGGTTGATACGACCCCAGCACGCCGTTTCGCTTCTAATAGAGCTAGAGCCTCGCGGAAAAAACGAGCGTGTGTGCCGTTACAAGTCGCAGCGATTGGTACCCGATTTTAAGGTCTCAGGTTAACCGGTGGCGTCTGAGCTCAGGTCACGTGACTGAAGTTACGGCTTCGGTTTTTAGTAAATAACTTCGCAAAAAATGGCCGCAGAGCCGCGATTTTGGCATCATTGTGTTCGCCTAGCTCAGGTGCATCGAATGGTATACTTTTTGCTTGGGTGAGGTCAACTTAAGTAGTTGACCTCGGGTCAAGGTCAGGTCAGAGCCCCTCAAGTCACGAAGCTGGGCAAAGGGTATCATATGGCATATCATTCGATTCGGAAGGTGTTCCCGAGTCCATTGGTGGCTTTCCCGACTCTCTAGCTCCATTTGATCGGGAGTTATTGATGAAAAACTCGTACGACCCTAATGACGTCATAAATGACGTCACGCAAGGTTAACAATGCAAAAGTAAAGCATTGGACTTTGCAAGGAGTGCATGAAATCAGGATACCATGTACGTGGGATAGTTTTAGATCATTCTCGGCGCCAAAATAACAGTTTTTATATTTCCCCATTGATTTATAACAGTGATGTCACGTGACCGACCTGACCTCAAGTAACCTTGAAAAAATTCCCAGATATACATGTTATGAGACCTCTGGAGGACACCATGTATGCGTCCTGTAACTTTCATCTCGGACAGCTATGGTCATTGGCGTCCAAAACAATGTCAGAACCAAACAGCCTTTTTCACCCTCGCGCTTATAGGAAAGAGGGTTGAATGAACCCTCTTTTCACTTTTTTTTCAGATGACTCAGACTTGAATTGAAGTTTCAGTAACCCGTGATGTTACTAGGCAGCTTTACCACGCCATTTGTAAGCTCCCCTCCCGAAATCACTATTCGAAACCGTTATCGTGACGTAAAATAAATACATTTATAGAAAGAACACCTTCCTATTTTTTTGCATACTTCTTAACAATGAGCCAAATATTTTTTTTAAAGAAATAAAAATTCCAAAAAATTTGGTCCCAAAGTCCAAAAAATACAAATGAAACAAAACTCGATATGTCATTTATCAAAAATAGCATATTTTTCGAAATTTCAAAAAAACATATTAATCTCTGTTTCATTGCAAGTTCAATGTTATATAACATTTGGCATTTGAATAATCCGTCTTAGAGTTACAGCCCGCCAAACTTAGCGCTGCAAAGCAAGATCCAAAAAATGTTATACACCATAACTCAAAAAATACTTATCTGATAAGCCTGAAATTGTTACAGGTGGATTCAGAGCCCCTGATTACCCCTGAGACCAATTCTCGTCAAATTCCCAGAGATGAGGGTGTCAAATTGGAAAAAAGTGGTACGATCTATCGTGGAATGCCCCAGTTACCAAACGTGTGCGCCGAATCCCTAGGTTTTCTGCCGGTGATACCCACATTGTTTGATGGATCATGATGAAACTTCCCATGTATGTTGGGGCAAGCATTGGCTATCGTGTGGTGCAAGAAAATTGACCGGGTCAGGTCAGGTCACGGAGCTATGACGTCACAAGAGGAACAGCGTCCGGTATTATTTTTGAAAAGCGCCCGAACCACTATTTTGCTAATTCTTGTCACCTCAATGGGAATATGCAGCAATATTAGCTTCTATAGGGAGCAAATGGACCTCCCAAATCCAAAAATACAATCAGATTTCAAAAATTTAAATTTTGATTTTTCGAATTTCTGCCGCCGACTGTGACCTTGCCGACTTCCGGCGCTCCCAACGCGCCATTTTTAGAGCTAGGGAAACGAAATACATACCAAACGATAGAGAATTGATCAAGGAACACGATAGTGAAGGTTTCAAGTCGATATCTCCCACCGTTTTGCCGCAATCGCCGCGGAAAGTTGAAAAAGTTTGATTTTTTCGGAAAATTTGACCTTTGACCGGTCATAAGTAGGTCAAATGTTGACCTAGGACCAAAAAATATACCACCAATCGCGAGATCTCGTTGAGAGCAATCCGTTGGTTTTTTCCGCTAAGCTCTACGACCTTCCGTTTCGAAACGCCAGGGGGGGGTCGTAACAACCCCCCCCCCCCTGGTCGTTCGTGTTATGAGAAATGGCCTGGTCGTGCGAGGGTTAACGAAGCACTGACCTCATCAAACACAGAAATAGCTCTTAAAATAGTACAGCGATACCGTCGCTCTTTGCATCGCAGCATCAACATCTACGATTTCAATGACCCGGCACTAAAAATAGTCACTTTGTATTTGCTCGTCCAGTACAATAACCGCCGTCTCACTCACCTTCCACGGTGAGCTTGTAGAGTGTGCCGCACACCAGTCTGGTGAGTTTCAGCTCGGTGACCCCGGCCGAGACCTCGTGTACACTCCACTCCTCTGCCGCCCCCGCCCCCGCCCCCGCCCCCGCCGGGGCGTACAGCACTCGGAAGGCGGTGAGCGGCAGCCGCCCGGGCGGGCCGGGCGTCCAGGACACCCGCAGACTGGTGTTGGTGACGTCGTGAATTAGTGGTACCGGCGCGGTCGGTGGGCCTGTGAGAGACAAATGTCATCAGCCGGGTGACTTGTGCGACTGACGGTCCTCAGACAAGTCAGGGAGGCAGAATTTTGGCAAATGGCGATAGGCGAGATATAGATAAGTGAGACTCGAAATAAATTTTAAACTGGTCACCTCATTTCTGTGTTTTCTTTCATGACTGTTGCGGTTGATGACTGAGTGGTTATTGACAGAACAGTTGCAATGTAAACTAATGGATTCGTAAAGGAGTTTATTGGTAGACGACCTATCGATGTGTTTCTCATATAAATAGACCAGTGTGAAATGAAATCGGCGAGCTTTGTAGAATAATGGAAGGTCCTTTGATGTTTTCAGAAGTGTGGATATCTGACAAAATGGTTGAAAGCATCCATATTAACGGAGGCGAGTGAGTTCAGCCCTAATCAAGACGGTTTTAATTTCATCCGACGATCCACCAAATCCTCCCTCACATCCAAGGACGTTTCCGGAATATTTTATTACCGCATCAGCATAATTATGAACTTAGAAGTAAGCTCTAAAGAAGAGTTGATAAAATGGAGGGTTTTACTAAAAATTAGAGCTGTAAAACTGAGCATAGATTGCAGAGGCTGATGAATACGTCAGCTAGTGATTCAACGTATGGATGCCGGATGGGTATATTATTTGGGACAAGATGACTAATTCGGTGCCTTTACAGGCACGAATCGATATTTGTATTTGCACATAGGCTACAATATCGAATACCTTATACAGCTGTAAAATGTTAATTACAGTGATCAGAATTTCGCATTTCGCTCATCGTCAAAACTCTGCCGGACGGGACTGAAATGGCTATGGGAAGTAGACTTGACAGTGAAATACGTCGTCCACTCCAGAAGTTTTGAGACTGGCCTCGTAAAATCCATATGAACAGTGCTAGATACTTGTTGTTCTCACATGTCCTTACCACAGTTGTTATGAACGTACTTGCGTAATTTTGTTTTTCTACGTTGCAAAAGACGGCAACGGTGTCACCCTTAACAAGGCAAGGCGCACGCGGCTTGTCACAGTGACCAGCGTAGAGCACAGTCAGGTTGTTCATGTGAAGACAACTTGGAGGGTCGCTGTACAATAAAATTTTGGGATTAGCTTGGCAAAAATGGCCGAGAAACATAGCAAATTGACTCTCAAGTGACTTGAGACGAAAGCTGGATGTATTTTTAACATCAGGAGACCAAGAGGCAGAAGGTCCAATGAAAACACACTGACTCCTTCAGACCCAATAAAGACAGACAGCGCAGGTCCACTGGGAAGCTAAAATTAATCCCTTACTTAGAACAAAAAGGCAAAAACTTCATAACCTGGGTCCCCTACGGCCAGATGGTCAACAAGGAATGATTCGTGAAGGTTCTGAGGGAGTTGAGAAAGATATTTCGCCGCAAGAGGTCGGAACTCTTCAACTGTGACCAGGAGCTCCTGCACCAGGGCAGCGCACACACCCACATGTCCACCATGGAGACGAACTATCTGACACAGATGTGCGTCAAAACCGTCCGTAACCCTTCCCACAGTCCTGATCTGGCGCCCGTGGCTTCTGGATGTTCCCCAGACTGACGGGGAAGCTCAGGGGCCGTCTTTCGTAGGATGTGGAGGAGATGAGTGAGGCTGTGACAGAGGCCCTGGGCACCTTCACTTTGAGGGTCTATCAGCAGGCCTTCAGGCAGTGACAGGAGCGCTAAAGCAGGTGCATTGGACTCGGGAGGTTCCATTTCGAGAGTCATACAAGTTTCATGCTTCTCTGAAACAGACAACTGTCTCTACTGAAAAAGTCTCAAAACTTCTGGAGTGCACCACGATCGTAACGTTTCGGTTCAGCTGCAGTTCTCTTCAATAACGTTTGCCGCCCCGTTAAGTCTTTGCTTGTAAATCGTGCGGATTGACTATGCAGTTATCCAAAATTCGATACTGCTGGAGCAGGAACTGACACATGACGTGAATAAACATCGGTCATGTTGACAAGGGACTAATTTCCTGAATATCATCGCCGAAACTGGCCAGGGTATGCAGCTGAATGCACATCACATGGTTCTTGCAGCAAATCATTTACGTAGGTATAATAGCATGATTTCAGTGGCTCACATCACACAACTGTCATGTCCGTTGGAACTACACTGATTTCGGTTAGACTAATCACATTTCGAACCTATTCATATGCAGATTTAGTGCATACTACATACCTATGTTGTTATGTGCCTTTCGGTTTTATTACACACTTTAAAATGAAGCTGAGCTGTATGTGTTGAAGATATGTATAAGGCAAATATCATTACGTGGCCACTTACTGATGACTATGACGTCATAGGTGACATTATCCCGTCCGTGTCGATTGGTGACGTCACAGGTATAGACGCCGTCGTCCTCCTGTGAGACGGAGCTGATCTCCAGTGTGCCGTTCTCCGTCCATCGCAGTCTGCGGGCCGCACATCATACGACTGTGAGCTGGTGGCCATAGATCGGGCACAACCCCGCGCGATCCGCGACCTTTCACTGAGTTACGACTGTACTTTGACCACATCTGGCTCACTGACCCCAGCGACAGATATTTGCAAAGATAGAGAAAGTGCTTTGACTTCGGATAGTTTCGGTGAACTTCTTAACCCTGTGCTCTTTTATTGGCCAGTTCATCTGGTAGAGCCATCCTGATAAAAAGTTTGAATCAACAAATGTGCGCACGAACCTTCAGTGGGCCACACAAAATCCGTCGTAAACATTTGATGACCACTTCTACCCAAAGACTTTGTCCCGCATTTGATATCGAGATAAGTGATGTTCGTCGGTCTTGTCCACATCCAAGGACACAACACACGACACGACGGAATACTATTTAAATATAACCATACCAGCGACTCCGTGGGATTATGAATAGAGGAGCGGGTTCGTACCAACCGGCTGGAGGACTCACCGGTGCAGCAATGGAGAGAGGACGGAGGAGACACCCACCGGGGTCCGGGCGGAAGACAGAGACCCACTGGTCAGAGGATACCCGCTCGTCGGAGGCGACTATCGGGTCGGGTCGGAGAACAGACACCCAGTGGTCGGAGGCACTCACCTATGAAAGGACAAATTAGTAGGAGGAAAGATGCCCATCGGTAAGAGGCGGTCACCGCGGATCGGAGAACTGTAGATACCCAGCGGTCGGAGGACAGACATCCACTGTTGGAGGAAGGACACCCACCGGTCGGAGGACAGATAACCACCCGAGTCGGAGGACAGACACCCACTGTTGGAGGGACACCCACCGGTCGGAGGACAGTAAGCCACCCGAGTCGGAGGACAGACACCCACTGTTGGAGAAAGGACACCCACCGGTCCGAGGACAGTTAACCACCCGAGTCGGAGGACAGACACCCACTGTTGGAGGGACACCCACCGGTCGGAGGACAGTAAGCCACCCGCCAGAGGAAGGACACCCACCGGTCGGAGGCGGTGAGCGGCCCGCCAGAGGAAGGACACCCACCGGTCGGAGGCGGTGAGCGGCCCGCCGGAGGAAGGACACCCACCGGTCGGAGGCGGTGAGCGGCCCGCCGGAGGAAGGACACCCACCGGTCGGAGGACAGACACCCACTGTTGGAGGTCAGACACCCACCGGTCGGAGGCGGTGAGCGGCCGGCCGTTTCTCAGCCAGCTCAGCTGCGGCGCCGGTTGGCCGTGATGGCGGCAGTGCAGCGTCAGCGGCTGTCGCCAGCGAGCCACCAGCTGGGCGCCGAACGACCACACCGCCGCCGGCACTGCGGCCGTGGGCGCCGTCTGCAGCACCTGACCGGGCCGGCCGGGGCCGCGGCCCGACTCCGCCCGCACCCACACCTCGTACCGGTCGGCCGGCACGCCGCCGAACCACGTCTGAGTCGGAGGCACGCGGTGCGAGCTCGTCTCGTTGCTCGCCACGTGCCTGTTCGGTGGGGAAGGGTGGGGAAAAGATATGAACAAAGCAAAAGTGTAATTGACAAATAAGTGAGAACCTGATTCCGTATATCAGCGCACGAAGCCAGGGCAGTACTAGTGCTTTTTATCTGTGTATCGTTCCGGTTCAGTTTGATTTAATTCACTAGTACGCATTCATATCTACAGGATTTTTTTTTTTTGCTTTCTTGCGAGGCGTTTAACTTTTTCATTTCGTCCACCACCAAGTGGTTTTAAATTAGATCATTAGCCCCCAAAGTAGCCTCACATCCTTCAGCGGTCTTCATCTATTCAATGAAGCAGCTCAGTCGACCGCGAAATGCTGGCCATTCACCATGTCAATGCCTTCAGACGCCAGAGCACCGCTCAAACGGTACCAAGGCCCAGTTTAGACGGACACGCTGGTTAGAGCCGCCGTGCCGGATATGCTCCTTTGACAGGGGCGTGCCCATTTCGGGGACCAAAGGACTCTGCACGGCCGACATGACGGGGCCGGTCCCGACGGAATTCGGCCGTTGGTTCTCAGCCACAAGTCTTCTGGGATCACTCAGAGTTGGACTTTAATGGAGGCGGCACCGTCTGAGAGGGACGTGCCTTTCAATCTCGGGAGGTGCTCCCAAATAACGATCACATACATGTGACGGCTCCATTCAATTATACATAGGGTTTCTGCCATTTTCTGGAGAAGTCTTACGGGCTGGTGTAAGGGAGGCATGTACTGGATGAAGTTCACATTAGTCCACAACATAAATTATTTTGATACGTGAGCCTGAACGCTACAGTGAAGCGATACAATGCTCACAAAGTCGTTCATAAATGTCGCCAAGATATACGGCAATTAAATATCGTGTCAGACATTATGATGTTTATTCACATTCGATGACAACACAAAAAATATTTTTGTTGAATATATTTAGAATGTATATGTTAAGAATAATTGCTTTTGTGTTGTCATCGAATGTGAATAAACAATAAACATCACAGCAATTAAATTCGAAAACACGGTTTTCCGTCACGCAGCAAGACAAATGCACGTGCAAATTGTTAAGATGAAGGTGCACTAACCTGAGGTAGAGAGTGTAGGCCAGCAGGCGGCCCCTGGGCGGCTCCGGCGGTAGCCAGCTGATCACCATCGCACCAGGGTGTTCCATGACGGCCAGAATCTTACGCGGAGGGCCCGGCACTGAGGAACGGGGTGCACAGGTCAAAGAGGTCACAAAGGTTACTGAGGTTATAGGTCAGAGGTCACATAGCACAGCGATTATATAAATGACAGTGATCACGGATAAGTTTACAGCGGCACTGTAACAGAAAACTGGCGTCTCAAACGACAGACACAAGTCAAAATAAGCATGATAGCAAACCTCATGTATGAAGTTCAAAATGTTGTTTTCTCGTTGAAAAGCAACTAGCTAAGAAGTAAGAAGCTTGATTTCCTGTAGCATAACATTCCCAACTTCAACGTGATCAAAAGACCATTGTGACAATCTGAAAACGCCATCAATTCTTCCCCAACATCTGGACACGTCCCAGAAAATTAATAACGCATTCTTCCGAGCTTTAATCGTATTACAAAGCCAACCCCAGGAGGAGCCGGGCGGACCGATTCCGCGAACACAGCCATCATCTGTATTCGCGTCAGCCGGTAGCGCGACTGCTTCGGCTGGCAGTTATTGTGAACTTTTTGATGAATGACATTTTCGGAGGGGTGCCGGTGAGGTCGGCCGATGCCACCCCGCTCTCGCGGACCGGCTGTGTCGGCGCCGCCGGCGGGCACCGACCGGACCCCGGCCAGCCGGTGGATTATTTATCAGCCTCCGGCCGGTGGCGTCTGATGGGCCGCGCGTCGGCAGATCGCTCGGAAAACGCCGCCGGAGGCGAGGCGATCTGCACAGCGATTGCCGAGGGGAGCGGCAGTGGGGTAAGGGAGGGGAGCGGCAGTGGGGTAAGGGAGGGGAGACAAGTTGGGAAGATGGTGAGATGGGGTCTAGGGAAGGGTTCACTGAAAAAAGTTTTTACCATCAATTTACTAAGTTACTAGCTTTGGTAAATTTTACCATCAGCCTACCATCATATTACTACCAGCCTACTATGGTGCTGAATACTATCCTGCCTTGACATGTTGATATTACCATGGTTACGTTTATCAGGGGTGGTTTTGTACCCCAGTTTACAAGGTGGTAACCACCTGAGGCTAGTAGATACCCTCGTAAGCTAATATTCCCTACCATAGTAAAATCAACCTTTCCACGGGCGGATCCAGCAGGTGAATTCGGCGATCAAGTCTCCTCCTTTCCATAGAGGTGTTTGCCAATTTTTGATATGTTGGAAGGAGCGTCATCCAAGGACTAGCTGAGACCCTGAGCAATTAATAGTTTTATGGACGAAAGGCCAGAAATTTCTTGCAACAGTTCCCTGGGTGTGCTTCTGCTGCTATGGTAAGGTATACCATGGCAACACCATGACAACACTACACCCTTACTAACAATCCACGTGCGTCTGACTCTGCTGCAGCGGCGCCGCCATGTCAGTTCCGGCCGCGCGCCGGCGTTGTGAAGGTGCTCCGTGGTTTTAAATATTTGAACGGTGATTGTGTGGGTGGTTAGCGTAGCTGACGGTGGAGGATACTCGGAAATAACAAGTAAGTCGTTGTATCTTCAGCATAATAATACTTATCTCACGAGTGCCATTTCCAGGAAAGATCGCAGCCTTTGTTTCGGTTCATGTTGTTGAATTTCCTTGAGACCCTGTTGGACCGGGTAGGGGGAGGGTGGTGGGGTGGGTATCATTGCGGGCATTTCCCAGCGTCGGAAATCAACGTGTTTTTTTATTTGTTAACCCACGCCTCACTGGGGTATGTGCTCTAACGCGCCCCACAGCACGTTACAGCACGTTACAGTGGGGGGGGGGGGGCTCCTAACTCCGAAACTACTGGGCCGATTGTCAAAATTCAAACGGCCCCTGGTAGCCCTGGAAATATTGTTGAGCGAAGCCTAATGTCATTGACCTCGAGGTCATCGATGACGTCACAGGTCAGGTCAAAGTAAAAATATCAGCGTCTTGGCACTCTGGGCGCCGGCCAACAAATCAGATCAGGCTCATTTTTTGTTTGCACACTCGTGAATATATGCGTAACATAACCTGAGGGTACCGAACTTGTACTTCGAATTTTTCAGGTCAAGGCCATCTCATCCCAGGTCACGAAAGCTTTATATCGTGCATCGGTGACGTGAGACATGTTTTATGGTTCATGTAGGCCATATATATCGAAATCAGTGTTGTATGTGTCAGTTTAGGCCATTTTAGCTGAATATAGCTGAGGTCAGGTCAGGTCACTTTAGGTCAAAAATGGTCAAATTTTGAAGTTGACATTTTTCAACAAAAAAGGTGTTTGTCAGATGAAGTTCACATATATTCAACGCATATGTGTTCAAACACATATAGACCCCGTTTCCATGGGCATCACTGATCCGGATCAGCAAACTTAAATCGTATTATATTTCTCGAACTCTTCGTTACATGATATAATTCCAAGTGGATTAGGCTTATATAATCAGTTAATCCCTTATTTTCATTTTCATATATTGTCTAACTATACTGGATTAGCTAATCCATTTTTACTGATCCGGATCAGTGATGCCCATGGAAACGTGGTCATATTCTGCTTTTTTTCATTCAGAAACGTATATGTAAAAAAAATAAAAAATACAATTTCTGAGTTTTTATATTTATAATTTTCAAAATATTCAACATTTCGAAAGTCCGAAATCAGTTTGGTAGCCCTGTAGAGTCCACCCATGCAAAAAAAGGATCTAGCTTAACCCTCAAGGCGGTGGGGGGGGGGGCATTTTTTGCATCCATCTTTAGTTTTCTTTCGATATATCTCCAGAACCGCTGCGCCGATCTTCACCAAACTTTCAGTACCCTTTTGCACATTGTGACCAAATTTTTTTTTCCAAAGGCTATGATAAGTTGGCCGCTACGTCGGAGTGACGTCATTTCTGCCATTGTCGACCAAAAAAAAAAGCTTCGCGGGAAGAGCTGTCAGGTCTATAAATTTGATTATGCATAAAAATGTTCAAGACATGAAATGTGTAGAATTACCAGGGCTACTATACTGTTCTCTCGATTTTGTTTTTGAAGTTGACCCCAAAAATAAAAAGAAATAGATATAATAGCCAAAAAATCCCAAAAGTTTTTCGATTTTCGAAACAAACGGAATATATGTAATAGCCATTATGGACTTCTATTCACATTCCAAGTATTAGATCGATAACTCCTTTTTGCCAAGTTATAACGAAAAAAACTGTTCAAAATTAATGACGTCAAATTTTCAAACTCGATTTTGGCAATTCTAGACCACAAAGCGCAAAACAAAGACCACCATTAGACTCGCCGTGACGAGTGGCATCGAATCAATACCAATTTTATGCGAAACTATCAACTTTGACCTGAAATTTGACCTTTTTGACCTGACATTGACCTGACCTCCACCAGAAAGTGACCAAAAAACCGTCCCTGATGGTCTTATAACCAACACCATTGAGGCGAATATGAAAAATTGGCCATAAAACATGCATCGCACAACCCTACTTAGTAAAGATAGGTTCATGTGCTGACCCTTGGTGATCGGACCTGGTATTATCAGTGACCTCCAATAGCAACATATGCTCGTATAATAGGCAACTCACGCCCTATCGCTGATTTTTGACAAAATGCCCTTTACTCGATGTTGCAGCGCATTCCTTAAAAGACCCGTGAACGGTGAAACATTTTATCTTTGACTTGGCCTGTGATGTCATCGGTGACCCCGAGGTCAATGAAATTGAAGTTCCCTCGACAAATTTAACAAGGCTATCGAACGCCATTTAAATTTTACCGATCCGTCATAGTAGCTTCGGAGATACGGGGGGGGGGTCAAAAATCCCCCCTCCCACCGCGCGGAAGGTAGCCGGGAGGCCCACCGCTTGCCGGGTTAAAACTCAGATCTTGAGAGCGATTACCGTTGTTCAATGCTTTGCATCAAAATCGGCCGAACATGATGTCACTCTGGCGTCATTTCCGGCCGATCTATAGTAGCTACAAAAATTTTATTAGTGCACAAGGTGTCAAATAAATTGATGCAGCCGAAGGTCCTAAAAGCTTTGTTTTGATACGTCCAGCGGTTTTAAAGATATTGCGTAAAAACGAGAGGGGCTATGAATAGCCCTCCCCACAGTAGGGTGGGGGTTAACCCTCGCCCGTATTGGTGTTTTTCCAGCCACGAACGTTTAAGGGGGGGTCCGTTGAACCCCCTCCTTGCCGTTTCGCCCCTGATTGAGCTAGAGCTTCGCGGAAAAAACGAGCGTGCTGCCCGTGACGAGAGAAAGCCGATGGTACCCAATTTTATCCTAGGTCGTCGGTCCTAGGTCATCGGTTGACCTTCCAGGTCAGGTCAATGACCCAAAAGTGGGGAAAACTGGGACCTGTTAGAACGTCGTAAAACGTGGCTGCTATTGGGTTTTTTAGGGAACTGATCACGAATATCATGTTAGCTATGATCATAGATGATGTCTTCATGCATTTAGGCCAGGTCGGGTCAGGTCAGGTCAGGTCAACCAGTAAGGGTTTTGCCGGGTATTCGTAGTAGGTGCACTAGGTGGCAACCGCCTCTGACAGCTTCGTAACATGTTACGAAGGCACCAAAACTACTTCGTAAATGTTCATATATGGTTGTTAAATTCGAAATCAGCTAAAAAAACTAGCCTAGAAAGATGCTGATAAAACTCGAAAAAGTAAACCGAGGTCATCAAAGGTCAATGAACTGACCTGACCTTCTGGTGACCTTGACATCCATCCTAATGCATGGGAGCAGCATCATATCCCATGTTTGAACGCTTGAAACCACGAAAGGACTGCAAACGCGCGGCAAATGCGAGCCGACATACGCCGAATCGCGATTCCGGCCAAACATGGTCTCGAAAAGTAGGTCACAGGTCAAAGGTCATTAGTCAGGGCCATTACATTTTTTAGGGTAGGTGTAAAATTGATTATAACTCGAGGGTACTGAAAGCTTCGTTGCGGTCGGCCGCTTTTTACGCGAGGTATTCGCGAAAAACCGAGGGGGAGTCCGTTCGACCCCCCCCCCCTATACGGGGGAGGGTTAACAAGCCAAAACGTTGCTAATTTTTATTTTGATCTGACCTGTGACGTCAACGGTGATCTCGAGGTCAATAAAATTAGGTTTTGCTCGACAGTTTTTCCAGGGCTATCAGACGCCGTTTCAGTTTTGACAATCGGCCCAGTAGTTTCGGAGTTGGAGCGGGGGGGGGGGTTCTATAAATAGCCCCCGCCTCCCCCAGTGGAGTGCGTTACAGAACATACCCCAGTGGGGCGCTGGTTAAGAGTAGAATTTTTGAATTATTGCCAACACTCAACACTGCACCTCATGGCAATTAATTCATTATAGGGCATTTTACCTGAACCAGCCTCTGGCCTAATGTCCCAAATTTGCTAAATTCCTCACCCTACAAATCCCCTGTTCTATTAGATGCTGCCATTTTTTTTAAAACAACTTATCTTAAATCCTTGTTTCATCAAACTGGGAGCTAGGTCACGGGACACTGCGAGTCAAGGTGGGAGGGGTAGGAGATAGAGTGTCACTGCAGCACACACAATCAATCTTTCCATTGGTTTATCTTATATCAATGCCTGCTCTTTTCCAGAGCTGGCTTTCGAAGTTCGAACCTTCGGTATATGGCTACCAATGCCCTTGGAGAAGGTGTTGCGTGATAAATCGCTGGAAGGGCGACATTCAACGATTGTGTGAAAAGAGACCGATTGCATTGTGATGATAAAGTGAACTGTAATAATTGTTGTTCATGCGCGTTGTTTGGTTATGTGCAGACGTAACTTTGTTTGTGGCCAAATGCTTTTTATGTGTGAAATATTTCATGTAGGTTACTAGGTAGATGCTTTGGAAAAGTGAAGAGCTGCTTTGTCGACTGCTAGGTAGATACTGTCATGCATGCTGTTGTGCATCAGTAAGTGGCTGTCGTAATGATAAACAAATTTGGCATGGATAGGCTAAAGCACAGCATATGAAGCATGCTGGTTGATGACTAGTAAGATCCTGTTAACCGACTGGTAATATCACAATAAATGTCACGTAGTAAACTATTGTTTTACGATGGTTGGCCAGCAAAGCAAAGCTGGTATCCAGATGACAAAAGGATGGTTTTACCATGATAAGTCATTAGTAAGCATTACCAGGGAGTAGCTAACGATAGTAAAGTCCTAGTTTCGTGCTAGTATCACGTGGGTTTTTGGGCATGGTATGACGACATATAGTTACCGTGTTAATACCATGGTAATTTTTACTGGCATTGGTATTCACATGGTTTTACATTCATATTAGGCCTAGTATTTGGGTCGTAAGTTAGTTTACCATAGGTAAGAGGCTGTTCAAAATATGACCACCACTCGAAAACTAACTAGGGTGGTATTTTTCTTAGTAGGCGGTACCAGGATAATACTAGCGTTAGTAGAGCTTTGGTTTCTTATTAGTTATGCTTTAGTTTCAAGGTAGTATGATGAAAAAATATTACCGTACTAAGACCATGGTATTTTGATGAGCATTGGTAGTTGCATAGTATTCCTTTGATATTGGGCCTAGTATTTGGATCGTAAACTGGTTTACCATAAGTAAAAGGCTGTTCAAAATATGACCACCACCCAAAAACTAACTAGGGTGGTATTTTTTTCTTTCAGTGTTGAGTTGGGGGGTGTTGAAGTTAGGGTGAGGTGAGGATGGGGCTGAGCACTCACGGGATGAGATTGAGAAGGAGTTACGGGGTCAAGATGAAGGCTGGATGGAGCTAGGAACGACTCAGCTTTAATTGGGATCGAGTTGCAACAGCTTCGGAGCGGCGGTAGAGCATCGAGCTGGACCGTAATGATATGCAATATTCATTAGAAATGCTCCAGATCGGGAATGAATGGAGACAGATTAAGGATTCTGTTTGCTGAGGTCAGGCTGAAATTGTGATTCGGAACTGCATAAATGTGGCTTTGGATGAAGACGAGATGAAATTGTAGCACAGCCATGTAATTGAACAGATCAGATGTAACTTAAATGAGATATGTTGATTGTTGAAAAACAGTTTGGTCACAGATAATATATACTTGGCCCTACATGCTCTGGTAGCTAGGAACAAAGATAATGGACTAGATATACGAAGCTAGGATCCGAAGTTGAGACAAGGATCTGGGATTACGGCGTTCTGTTGTTGTTAACCGTAGACATGGAAGACTGGGATCTACTCGTAACTTAGAAGCTACCTCGCTAGTAGTTAGTTGGGAAGAGCCGTACGGAGCCGATCCGCAGCAAGTTGAAAGCTCGGAGCCAGTCAGTTGCCAGTTGCCGTTCGTGGAACCTGGCCGGAGTCGGCAGCGGCGCGGGTAATTGCAGAGGTTGCAGGTGCTCGTTGCTCTCTGAATGGCTGACCTTTGTCCACCGGCCCGCGACGGGGTGAGCGCATTGAAAATCGTCCCACCGTGCCTGGCGCTCCGGGTGCCATCGAACCCCGATTGAGAAAGGGTTCACGGAATAGACTGGCTCACTAGACCGTCCGGTGGACATTTTCAGAGTTGAAAAGAGACTGTAATTTATTACGAGAGCTACAGTTATTGGTCTCTGAAGGTTTCCTGTTTGCTAAGTGCAAACGGATGTTTGTATCTACCGTTCACTTTTATCATCGAATGTATGGTAATATGCCATCGTAAAGTGACCTTTGGTCACATAAAAATAAAAAGTGTTACAAGCGTTCCAATTCATATGTACCATTCTCTCCACCTCCAGCCCTCATCTCCTTTCCTCCTTCACCATCCTCAGTCCGCCTCTACCCTCCCAGCCTCCCTCCCTCCTCTCCTCTCCCCTCCCCTCCACTCACCGTCCTCGCTGGTCCAGCAGAGGATGGGCTCGCTCCAGGGCCCGGCTCCGGCCGATGTGTGACTCTGCACGCGCACCTGGTAGGCCGTGTGCGGCACCAGGTGACGGAGGGTGGCGCGCGTGTGACGCACCTCCAGCGGCAGTGAGACGGCCATCCAGTTGGACGAACTGACGTAGCTGACCGTGTAGCCGCGCAGGATGCCGTGCCTGACGGACGGAAACGTGGCTCGGCGGTGTAGGTGCCAACATTGTTCCGCTTGCAATAACTTCGTAATGGTTGAGCTGATTGCTCTGAATCTAGGCTAGCTAACAGTGAAGACCTAGCATTTAGCAAACAAGCGCAGGTAGCGACGGGACGCAAACAAAGAAACACCCCTAGTGCTGGTTTAAATCTTATTTTCTCGAAAAGTTCTTTTAGTGTTTTCAAGGTCTCTCCGAAGCTAGGTACCTATATTTTCAACCAAAGGGTCATAATTTCGCAATAAATGCTCTGATGTTGTGGCCGTATGAGCCGGGAAGCTCAGTGCCGCTGAAGCGCCTGTAACGCTGACTTCACTGCCTCGGCAGGCGATGGCGGGCCATTTCATCTTCCCTGGAAGCCCTCTCAGTGTCGGAGCAAGAGCGCCGCTTTCGAGGCACCGCACCGAGCAGGGCACTTGGCCAGATGAAGTGCAAATCAATCGCCGGTGCCGGCTGCGCCGCGAGTGAAGTGCGCCCACTGTGGTTCCGGCTACTGCTGCGCCAGTCTGTGATGGCGGATCAGATTGTTGCCTACCAGTGCGTTGGAAAAATATATGTATGTGCTCTCTATTGGATACTAGGTTACATTGCTAAATGAACAACACCACACTTCAAACGTTTTATGGAGATTTGATCTCACCACTTCCAGCCTGAATTACGGTTTCGGCGTAAACAAGATAGACGTTTAAACTTTACCCACTACATCATAGAGCCTGACTGCCTGACTGATTCCTCAATTTCTAATGCCCAGACCCACCCCAGCTCCAATGACCCCTCTGACCTGTGATTGACCTCTGGCGGCGTCCAGGTCACGGTGAGGGTGTCGGTGCTGGCGGTGGCGCAGCTGACCTCTGCTGGCGGACGGTCCGGTGCGTCCTCGGCAGTTTTGGCCGACACCGGCTCACTGGCCGGGCCCGGGCCGCGGCTGTTGTAGGCCGTCACCGTGACCATGTAGGCCGTGAACCGCTCCAGGCCAGAGAGGAGGGCGCGGTCTGAACCACCGTCAAACACCTTCATAGAGCGGGCGTCCCGGTCCCCGTCGCCGGCTCTGTAGGGTCAGAGGGCACAGGGATTTAAACAGGTGAACCTCATGGGGTTATTGGGGACACCTGAGCATGCCTATCCGGCTACCCTATCGGATCAGAAAGACGTTCTGTAGATCATCCTCATCCGGTAATTTTCCGCTACTCCCATTCGAGGAAATGAGCGCTGTTGGTCTCATCGAAAAGAAGTGTAACGTTAATCGCCATCTTATTCAAAGTACTCCTGGATTCGGCCACTTTCCGAGGACGCAAGTTATCCTTCTGCATGTTGGAAACTGAACTAGCTTATCCGTTTATCATCTTGAAGGTACGATAATTCGCGTAAAGTGATCAAAAATGAAACAATATATGTGTAATTCTGGCAAGTCGGTGAACTATTTTTTGGGACGCATTAGTGCCAACGGCTGTCTCTTCTCTTTGCATCCACCAATTTGCATTCAGTCTATATATGCTGATATTAGAAGTTGCACAAAATGTGGAGAACCTGACAATTTTCTCAACTCAAATAGCGTAGGCAATATTTAATGCATTGGAGACAAGCAGCTGAAATAAAACGCAATTCGCACACCAAAGGCCAGGAGGCCAGAACAAATCGTGCTCCTATGCATTAATTATGACCGGAAGCGTGACCTATGGCTCTTCGAATGTGCTTCAGAGTTCAGAACAGCAAGCTGAGCGGATGCAGTCGGTCAGATACACATTCTGCACATTCTGCGTGCAGGGGAGGAGGGGGGGGGGGGGCGTTTCATCGACGCCTGCTCTCCGCCGCCCGCCGCCGACCCGGATCGTAATAACGCGGCGGTCTAAAGAAGCACGCTGTCGGAACGTCCCATTAATTTACGCAGAGCCGACCAAACACCCCATTTCGAGCCGGTGGCCGGGCGGTCGGACCAAATAGAACAGCGCGGCTGACCGAGGTCGCTCTGAAAGGCGTCACGCGACTCATACGGCGCTGGTCAAAACACCAATCATTCGCAGTGGCCGGGCGGTCGCTAATTTGGGCTACGACGGAGCGGTCTGATTGGTCGGGGAGTGGTGCGATTCCCACGGGCCTGCCGCGGCAGTGTGGGAGAGCGGGGGTCCGCGGGGGCCACTGCCGTTCGGTCGGCCGGCAAAGGACGCCTAACTTGGCCGGGGCGCCACTGAACTTCAGCGTCCACCAGACAAAGTGCCGAGGGAAAGGATCAACGCCTAATTGTTAAAGTTAGTGCACGCCACATTCGGGCCATCCGTATAATTGAATGGGATCGAACGGCTACTCGAAAGCAAAGTCCTACGAATCTATCACACTTTATTGATTTATTTTATTGAATCGCTAGCATCCATTCATCAAATGAAGAAAAGCCTTGGCCATGGACAACTAAAAAGAACTGTGGCTTAACAACTTAGCGAATAGTTTCGAAACAAACTTGCGCAGTCAGGGCAAGCCACACACTGAAAAAAACTTACACCTAGAGAGTTATTTTTGGAGTTTTTCCACTCCAGTTTGGCGAATAATCACGCACCAATGGCATATAATGATTATGTTTTGTAGCGTATTCTTACTCTCTGCATTGCATTATGGGCGTTTTTGAAAGTTATTCTTAAACCTGGTACTATAATCATCTCTTTTGTGTTTTAGCAAGTGCTAATTTTATCTTCTAATTTTATCACGTGTCCTTTTTATTCTTTCGGGTTATAAATTTATATCAGTCTCAAAGAGGCATGGGGTAATTTTAGTTTATTTCACAGTGATAAACAAGGTCATTGGAATATATTTGTGCTGAACTCCCATTAGATGGTAATAAAATTGACAGCTAGAGTACTTTTATCAAAACTGCATAAAAATAAACCGCTGTGGAGTAATTAGGGTAATTTTTATACTCCATTACGGCTGATAAATTGACGCGACAGAATAAAACTATTCTCATGCAGGTGTAAAAATTACTTCCTTCGTGATAAAACTATCATGTCCGGACAATAATTTTATAACCATGGAGTAATATTATGTGGTAGCATTACTAACATTATTCTTGGGGAGTATTCGGGAGCGTATTTCAAGCAATACTGTATCACTTTCTTGATAATCCTATTCCGTTGTGACATAACTAATCTAAAAGTGATTAATATCTATTCGTCCAGCACAGTATTATTCCAAGAATAATATTTTCGGAATGTCTCTGCAGTTCGCGACCATTCGCGACCGCCATTGTGCTCAAGTCGTCAGAACCAAGGCCTTCTGTCAGAGAACCGAGCAAGCGTCCCAGTCCTCGAAGGTAAGCTGAAATTACTGTATACTTTGTGTTTTTGTTAGTATGACTTTACAGTAATCCGTAGTATGACCATACAATCCAAGAAATGCGTTGACGTAGATGTGCGGAGTGACGAAGATTTCCGCGATGATGAAATTCTGGAAGACAAATTGTCACCCATGACATGCTCAAGGCCATTGAAACCAGGGGAAACAGCCATGTCAATTACCCTGATTTAGTTCAAGTTGTGATCAAGATTGTTATGCAGAGCTAATAAGTTATAGATTTTGTGATATTTTTTAAACCATGCAACTCACAGTGTAAGTAACAATACAAGCATCTCACTCAGGGACACTGTATGGAAATGCTCCAAATACCTAGGTATGGCAGGGGCGGCTCTAGGTGCTGAAAAGTAGGTAGGCAAGCACGCCAGCAGGGAGGAACTCGTCCAACATGTTAAGTGCAGGTTCTCTTACCTGGTTCTCTTACCTGGTTGGGCTCCCTTGTCTGCTATCAGGAAAAGGTAGGCATGAGGAAGTTGGAAACCCTAACATAAGACACTATCAGGGAACAAAATTGGATAGGAAAACATCTGGAAAATTTGTATAATTTTTAACCCACTCCCTCTGGTTTTTCTACCGCCTGCTGGGAAGTCACCCCCCCCCCCTCCCATCTAACTTGGCGGGTCCTAAGCAACGTAACCGTAACGAAACGCTCAAGGCGGAGTTGGGAATCTTGTCACAAACCATGACGAAAGCATTCTAGTCATTTTTATCAGGTAAAAGATCACCAGAGGTTGACACTTGACGTGGCGCGCTTTCAAACTTTTTGTGAGCTGGAGTAACTTACCTGACATGACCTTCCACAATGATATAATGTTCACTTGATGTTGCTTGATGTTAATTCCATTCATTAATGTGATTTTGCGATGTTTCCAGGTGTGGACTGACTTGGGAATGATCATGGGGCTCGAGGGGGACGTGAAGGAGCATGTCCTGCACAAAATCAGACATACCGCGAAGAAGTATGCCCAGACGATGATAAACGTGGAGCCGGCTGACAAAGGCGGTGAGTTTTGAACGGGCACAAGCACACTTTTCGGATGAGGTGTTCCGCTAGCAACACATCGTGCCGGGGGGGGGGGGGATACTCTTCTTCTATATAACTGGGCTCGAGCCGATCATCGTAGACAATATATTCCTGGCCAGGGCTGGAATAATGTTTAGATCTGACTAATTTTTTTTAGCGAATGTAAAGTTAGGCCCGAGGTATTTTCGATAAATACGAGGTCAGGCCAAAACATTAGCCAAGACCAAGTGTAGGAAGGTATTTCCCACGCATGCTTCTTCCTGCACGATGGAGAAATGACGTTTCACATATCCCAATGGCGTAATACATTAATAGCAGAGGGCAGGACAACTGTTTATTTTCTTGATGACTTTTTTTTGGCTTAAAGGAAGACTGCCACCTTTTTTACACAAAACGGTTTTCACTAGACCTAACCCACCTATGACCTACCCTGAAGTTTGTTTCCCGAAATTCGGCCTAGTTTTCAAGATATCCGCAATTGGACTTCAGATTCACCCGCGCCCTGCTGGGGGGGGGGGGGAGGTTTGAACTTTGAACACCCCCTTGTGTTTTTCGCGAATATCTCAAAAAAACGGCGGCGATCATACATCCATTCTACACATGTTGTGAAAATTTCAGACCAAGGTCATTCAAGGTCAGGTCACCAGGTCACTTGAAGTGACCTCACCTCATAAAAAGTTTCAATGTCTGTCATATAGCTACACCGAGTGACCGATCGCTTTGAAACTTTCAGCGATTGCTAAGAGCAATAGCATGTACAAAATGTATATCTCAGAATTTTGATATCGATGACCTAAGTTCAGGTCAATTTTGCGACCTCCCCATTATAAGTCAATGGGAGAAAATTGAAATACGCCTCTTTTGGACGAAAGACATTATAAACACTTCCAAACACCGAATTACAAGTGGTTTAGACACACAGAACATGAAAATGGTGTTCGTGACCCTTGTTTATGCCCTGAGGTCATCTTAGGTCATTAATGGTATCTAACAGTTTTTTCGCAAATAACTTTTGATAGAGGCATGCTAGAGCGATGAAAACGCCTTAGATGTGTTCAGCTCGACGATACGGATCGACTGATATGCAACATGACCCTTTCCGGTCAGGTCATGACCTTGACCTGAGGTCAAATTTTCAAGTTGACCTTTCAAGGGCAAGTTATAGTTCATTCGATGCGTCTTGACGAGCGGAACACGATGCCGGTAAAAGTAAGCTCGTACAAGGCTTGGGTCTAAAGTTATTGCAGAAAAAAATGTTTCCGAAAAAATCGGCTATTTTTGCAGTTTTAGCCCCCTGCAGGCAAAACCGTTGACGTAAGGTCAAATCTGAGAGAATTAATCAGAAAGGGCGTTAATAGGGCTATCGAATGCGCTTTTCTGCGGCGCTGTAGCTTGGTTCCCGAGTTATGCGTTGGCTTCTTGGAAATTTTCGACATTCGACCTGGAAATCGGCGAAATTTTGCCTTCAATGACCTCTGGTGACCTGACCTTTGACCAAAGTGATTTCGTCATTATTTTTGACGCTCTTTCGAACGCCGCCTTCTGCGTATCGCTAGGTGGCCCAGGAGCCGAGTTACAAGGGGGGTGTTCAAACACCCCCCCCCCCCCCCCCAGCAGGGCGTGGAAATCCAGGACCTCCAGCCGGGCGCGGGTTAAAGCCATCACAAATGTGTGGAATATGGGAATGTAACATTACCATGTTAAAATCCCATCTCCCACATTTTTTTGATCAATGTGAAGTTCGAATGCGGATATCTCGAAAACTAGGACGAATTTCGGGAAACGGACTTCAGGGTAGGTCATAGGTGGGTCAGGTCTACTGAAAACCGTATTAAACCGAAAACCGTAAAAAGGTGGCACTTTAACGACGGGCGGGACAACATGTTGTACCTCACCTTTGGACAGCCAATCGTTGTTGGTTTTGCTATTAGTCAAAAAGTGTTGTTTAACTCTAGTGATATTGAAAAGTCATGGTTGTCTCCATTCAGGTTGTCTCAATTCATGGTTGTCTTCATTGTCTCCAAATATACCACAGTTACATGCAGTTTGATACCTACTTGCACTCCATGCTTAACCATGACAGCGGAACATCGGGTACTAATTTCTTATTTCACTGAAATATTTTAACGACGTATCATTATTTTGTAATGATGCACCACGTTTAGTTGTAAGAGTGTATCATACTACGCAAACGTACTACGCATCGTACTACGATTTTGAGAATGAAAAGAAATCAGGAAGAAGCGAAGAATCGTCTCCAGATACTGTAGATGGCATAGCCAGCTACTGTACGAACGCGGTTCCTTGTTTCTCTCCTAGGTTTCCTTTACGTTTATTTGTACGATATGCATTGATGCCAACTGACTGCAATATTCTTTTTCACGGCAGACGACGAGCTGCTAGCTCTACTTGCCTATGGTTGTGGAACAACCATCGGCACCTTGGCGGATCCGAGAAACGGGGTTCGTCAGGCAGGTGAGGAACTATCGGTGGACGGTGTGGTGGTCTGCCAACTGCCGGCCACCAGGTTGGAGACCGTGGCCCTAATGACGGCCGCCCACGCTGTCTTCTACACAAAGTTCCTGCAGAGTGCAGGGCCCTGTTCGAGATTCTTTACCGGAGTGTGGGATTCGATGTAAACCTATCTGACTTATCACAGAAGGTGTGGGAGGTTACCCAGGTAGTGTAGAACCAGCATCGGAGATGCTCACTTCGAATGACTGGCGACCTGTGGCTCACCTGTGGTTCAAGTGACTCGTGACTTGTGGCTCACCTGTGGCTCAAGTGACTCGCAACGTGTGGCTCACACTACTGGAGCCTCTGTATTATGACTAATTCAGCTGCGGCGGTCTCAGTACGCCAATGAGTCTCAGTACGTCTTTCATAGCCCAGATCACGCTCGTTTTATATGCCATCCGTGGCGGTGGTTCTGTGCGCAGATGTTATTCGTTAGCCTCAGTGTTAACCATACACGCTCGTTTTATCTGCCATCCGTGGCGGTGGTTCTGTGCGCAGATGTTATTCGTTAGCCTCAGTGTTAACCATACACGCTCGTTTTATCTGCCATCCGTGGCGGTGGTTCTGTGCGCAGATGTTATTCGTTAGCCTCAGTGTTAACCATAACGCCCTTGTGAGTTGTGACCTTGAACGTCCTTCCAGTGATTTCGCATTGCGGCCGGCAGAGACGAAGTTTTGCCTCCCATGGTTGAGACGCCGCTTCTCAACTAGGAAGCAAAATTACGTCCCTGTCGGCCGCAATGCGCCATCACTGGAAGTGCGTCCAAATTAAGATGTACCTGCTGATGGTCAGTTACCATTCGTTAATCAATTGTTGGTGTTTCAATACATTGTTTAAATGCATTCCTTATTTTACACTTGGTCATAATATTATCACATCACCCCGCTTTATCAGGGGTGGTACTTTTACACCGGGGCTTGATTTTACCGGGGAGTTACTCCGGGGTAAAATTATCGAAAAAAGGAGTGCTTTTTGGCATGGCAATATTATTCCCCGAATGGGAGTAATTGTAGTATTAAGTTAATAAAATTATCATCTGGTGTAATTTTATCCAAAGATAGCATACTTTTATCCTCCGTCATAAAATTACTCCCTAGCACGAATAATATAAGCGTTCGGATACTAAATATATTCTATATGCTAGTTTTATTCCCCAAAACTCCCCATTTTAGGCGCTTATGCCAGGTCATAAAATTATTCGATTGCAGGAGTGCTTTTTGACATTCTAAAATTAGAAAATGGGGAGTAAGTTTTTTTCAGTGCAGGTGTCAATGCCTGCAGGGTGCATAGGTAATCAGGTTTTTCCAACTTGTCCATGTCCGTAGTTATATTTCACTCCACCAATCAATCCTTGGTCTCTCTCCTGCAAATTGATTTTGGAAGTCAGATAGAAAAGAGTTGCCTTACGAGTAATTCGAGTAACCTTTAACCCTATTCCTGGCGGGCTCCGCCGGGACAAGAAACTGGCGGGGGGGGGGGCCGATTCGGCCCCCCCCCCTGAGATCTCGAGAACGAAGCAAGATAGCGACAAGCGGTAAACGGCATCGGATACGCACGGCCAAGATCTACAATTTTTACTAAGGTCATTTTCAGGTCAGGTCAAAGATGACGTCACAGGGGTCGAAAAAGTCAAAATGGCGGCGCTAGATATGGAGAGAGTTTTTCTCGAATAACTTTCGAATTAGTCAAGATAGGAACAAACTAAGGGCATCATCGTGATCCTCTCGTCAATCCGCATCGAATGATATATATGTTGACCTCGAAAGGTCAAGGTCAAAGGTTGACCTCAGGTCACGTGACCTCGAGGTCATCATGTATATCATTCGATGCGTCTTGACGAGCTGAACACAATGAGACCATCCACGCGTCTGTATCTTGTTCCTGTACGGAGTTATTGGCCAAAAACCTTTGGTGACCTTTGATGACGTCACATGACCTCACAGCTGCCCAACAGCAAAACAGACCTCAAGGTAGTGAAGGTTGATAGTATATGAAGTCATGTATGGTATATGGGGCCATTCCGACCCGTTTTAGTGGTAAAAACAGGGAGTTGATTTTTCCCCCGTTGACTTATAATGGGGAGGTCGCGAAATTGATCTGACCTTAGGTCACCGATATCAAAATTCCGAGATATAAAAATTGCACATACTGGTACCCTAACTAAACCCTGAAGAGAAGAAATTGATCGGTCAAAAACTCTAGCTCTGGCGTGATTGCAAACTTTTCTGAGGTAGGGTCACCAAACCGCCTCTGGTGACATGACCTGAGGTCAGATCAACTCAAAATTTTCAGACATGTTGCGTAGCAGCCTTTTAGGAAAAGTCAGAAAATTTGAGCTTCCTAGCTCAACGCGTTTGGGAGAAATAACCAAAAAACCTCAGGGCGGGCTCCTGAGGCCCCCCCCCCCCCCGCCAGGAATAGGGTTAAGATAAGTCTGTGTTTTGTTGTACACAAGTTTTCATTCCCTAGCAAGGAATGACTTCAAAATGAATGTACTGGGCATTGACATCGGACCATTAGCATAGATGATGCCTTTTCATCAGCGATACTCGGAAAACCGTCCCCATGGGTCCCACATCTATCGGCACTTGTCCCCGTCGCCCGCGGGGAGTGGGCTGTGAGCCCGCTCCCGACCCCCCAGTGACAGCGGAGACTCCGCAGCAGCCCCGGTCGAGCCGGACCGGACAAGTGATGGTTCGAGGAACAGCTCGCCAGCCATTGTAACACTCCGATCCGCCGGGATCCAGCCGGAAGGCACTCTGACGCTAAGTGATAGCAGCTGCGGGCCGCGCTAAGTCGGCGGTGTGGACAAGGGCCGGTGCGCTGGCTCCGATGGACGGGATTAGAAACAAGCAGGTCCGGATCTGAGGGGGAGAGAGAGAGAGAGAGAGAGAGAGAGAGAGAGAGAGAGAGAGAGAGAGAGAGAGAGAGAGAGAGAGAGAGAGAGAGAGAGAGAAAGGGAGAGAGAGAGAGAGAGAGAGAGAGAGAGAGAGAGAGAGAGAGAGAGAGAGAGAGAGAGAGAGAGAGAGAGAGAGAGAGAGAGAGAGAGAGAGAGAGAGAGAGAGAGAGAGAGAATCTGACACTAAAGCTGAGGCTGTCGTCTCAAAATAATACTAGAGGCTACACTGAGCGGCTTAGCTCTGAGTGCCACTCCGTCTTTCAGATAAATATGCTGGTTCAGCTTTAGCAGCGATTAACCGAAACTGGGTTCGGAATCAGCACTTAACGTTATGTGTGGGCTGCTAACATGGCACGGCCATATCCCGTGGCTTTAAACATAATCTCCGTCTGATACGAAGCGGTTTATATAAAATTGGGCGATACCGATGCAAGGCACTTGGCATTCGATAAGCGGATAAGGCGGGGAATTAAAATTGTACAATGCGTCTAGTCTGTCCATCTGACCCTGTCGTAGATACCTGTTCACCTGACCCTTCTGTAGCCATATGGTTCCATGCCTTACTTAACCCTGCTGAAGTCGACAATTGTCTGCTCACAAAAGTATCTTCTCTCTGCCCTGCAAAAGTCGACAATCCCCTCCTTACCGGACCCTGCTGTAGATGTTAGTCCCTCCTCACCTGTCCCTGCTGTAGATGCCGTTTCCCTGGGCTCACCTGACCCTGCTGTAGGTGACGTTGTAGCCGAGGATGTATCCGTTGGCCAGCTGGGGGTCCACCGGCGCCCAGGTGACCCGCAGACAGGTCGGGGTGAGCGCTGTCAGCTGCACCAGTCGAACAGCACCCTCCGGCAGGTCCTCGTCCGTCTGGATCTGTAGAGAAGGGGACGAGGTTTACAAGACTTAAGGACGTCCAGCCCATAGCGATTTTATGCGTAAAATACTGCCCTATGTATAAGGCTTTATGGTCTTAGCGGCGATAAAATCGTCAAAATTTCCACTCACACCATTGCAGTACCCAATACCCATTGTGAAACATGTGGACTGCATGCACTGTGCAATTACGTGTTGCTGCCATGCCCGTGAACGCTTTGCTATAGGCAAATTGGTTTGGTAGATTTGTTCTGGAAGTGTGTTTAAGGAAAAAAGAGTGCGAGCCATCTCATTAATCGGGCAAAACAGCGTCTGTTTGCCTCTTTTGGGGCAAAACAAGTAGAGAAGGACAAAGGAATATCGCGACATAAGTTATCTCGCTAGCTAAATCGCGGCGACTTTTAATTGAACGTAAGAACTTTCCAAATCAAAGGACTATCCGTTTCCCGGCTGTGTAGCGGCAATTCTATCTGTTTGTCAAATTCCAAACTTCAGCAGCTTGCAACGAAAGTCATCTCAACTTCAGCCGTACCCACGGAAAAGCGAGAAATATTCCACAAGTTGGCGACCCTGTTTTTATACCGGAGCGAAATGTCGGGTGCCATCTGTTCACATGCCAAGGCCTGTCTTCGATCGTGAAGTGTTTTCCCTCGCGGCATTCGCTCTGTCCCGCTACTTCTACCCGCTCGGTCGACCCGGCAGCTCGAGTGGGCTACCACGACTACAGCCCCTACTCGGCGCCCCGAGAGAGTGCGGCCAGCTGTACTGCCGCTCAACTTGTTTGCAAATCACTCCGGAGCCGGGCCGCTAATTTGGCCGAGTTTATCTGGGCCACACTCGGCTAACGAGCCAACATTAGTGCTCGTCGCTGGACGCCACGGCTCGCTACCACAGCACTGTCGATTGATGGTGAACCGTGGCTGAAACACCGCCTCATCCACTCCTAACGAACGGAGAAAACGGACGGGAAATACAGACCGTGGGCGGGCTGTATCGCATGCTCCGCGCGGGGGTAGCAACACGTCATCGTACATTGCCATGCATTTATGTCATCGTTTTTATTTAGGGGTTATATAATCAGTAACCGCTTGAAAATACTGGCCTCATTTACATTTGAAATTAGTCGGACCTATAATTCAAGATGGTAGTGTTGATAAAACAATGCATCAAACTCGCAGTTGGAAACAATAGCGCTCACTTTTAAGCATGATCTATGACGTACAAGTACGGTTTTGAATCACTCTGATCACAAAGTTATTAACCATTAAATATGTGGCAATGCATTAATGTATAAGCCAGAGCCCGCATTTCGATAGGTGTTAAGCGCTGTGACATTTGCACTGACCGTGGTCAGTGGTCATGAAGCGTTTCAAAGCTTTGACATTATATTAATTAGCTTGCACTGGGCAAGTGCAGCTTGATCTAACCATATATGGCTCCATACCTTTTGAGCCCAGAATAACTCCAACTCAGCCGCCTTTCAGCTGAGTCGGAGTGTACACTCGGAATGACCCATTCCCGGTCAGCTGTGCTAAATATACGGCTCAGAGTAACTAATATACGGCTCAGATGTACGGCTCAGAGTAACTAATATACGGCTCAGAGTATCTAAATATACGTCTCAGATTGACTCACCTCAATGGTTGAACTGGGCTGACTGCGGCCCACGTCGTTGAGTGAGAGCACGCGCAGCTGATAGGTGACCCAGGGCCGCAGGCCGGTTAGCGTTGTGCGCGTGCCTCGCTCCACAGCTGACTCAAGCCACGTGCCTGAGAAAAACGACACAAGTCAGTGACGGATGTAACGTGAAATGACTGGATCAGCAGAGTCGGGTGAAGCGGGAACAGAGGGAGCATTCTAGTATGGATGGCGACCTTACGTCGTTACATGCTTTATTCAAGTCGTATTCACTTGCATGTTTGAAGAGTATCGTAAATTACCAGCGTGTGAGCTACTCAACAAGTCTCGCAATATTGCATTCAGTTTTGCTTATTTCTACTGTAAATGCACTTTTACTGAAGCCCGCATTTTATTACTCTTTTCTTACCAAGTATTTTGATGACTTTGGATGTTTTTATTTGCCTTTTTACTAAGGTGACGTACAGAACCAACAAACGAATTGTGGTTGCTCCACATCATTTTATCCAAATCGAGCATCAGTCTATCTGCTTCCCACAACAGCCTTGGCAGAAAAGAAGAAGATGTTTCCGTTCAGAGTCAAGTCATTCCGAAGAGCTGCCTTTTGAATGGCGTGGCTTCATTGCGGCCTTATTCAGTCGGAGAGCCGGCGAAATTCACTTCCGAAATCTCTCCGATCTCCGTGTCGTCCAATTCGAACGCTCATTCAATTCACCGATTTTCCTGTTATGACAGGATGTTTTCGAGGCTAAAATGAAGCTCTGTTCAAAAGGACGAAGCACGAATAGATAAAACAATACCCACTTAGCAACTGTGAAAAATTTTGTGGGAGCGACCTGGTATCCGGCTTCACGAGGGCTAAGCATAAATTACTAGGAACAATGAGGCGCCTGCAATGTAGGCACACATGAGTCGATTCAATCCTGATAGAATTCCACGGTTTGTTCAATGAGCACACGAGCAATGACCTGAGTCGATGTACTGTAGGGTAAACGGTGGGCCTGGTTAGGTATACATAGCAACTAGACAACTGGACAATTAGGCATAGTAACCGGACGAGCGGGCTGGCCGGTGCCGACCACTCACCGTTTATGGTTGCCGGTCGGTACTGGACGATAAACTTTAGTTCTGTGGTGGGGTCAGGACCCCAGGTCAGAGACAGAGACCGACTGCCCACCGTCTCCAGGTTGATATGTGTTGGTCGAACGGGTGCCTCTGCAATGGAGCGTATCTCATCAGAAATGACTTACATCCTCGTATACATTAGATAAAAATGACAAACACTCATTACAGGCCCGACAACAATGCAGCTCTTCGAAAAGAACATGTCACGATGGAGTGCCTGTAGACAGTTACGAGGGAACGTTGTCAGGACAAACCACATCAAGCTGTGTCCGCCTCAAGCAGTTGTGAGTGTAGGACTGTTAAATCATATGGCCGTGAGCTACACAAAATGAATATGGTCGTCAATACAAGGCTTAGAGAACGATAGCGTCCTTTATCACCCGAAAACAAAGACATAAAGCAGAGCATTGCACTTTCAAAGCACATCTTTGACTCATATGGTGTGAAATATCCTTACATACACGAAATATCAAACATAATTAAATAAGTGACGTAACTACTCGTCAGGTCGAAAAACGTGAGTGATCTGTCCCAATATGATCCGGCAGCACGTTATTTGTGATCTGCCACGTGCGCTATCCTCATTACAGCAACAGTGACCCTGACTGGCCTCTGGGATGGAATCAGCTATAATCTGGGGCTCAGCGTCCCTGCTCACGACATTGTCTGATTGAATCTGACCACGCTCCGATGGCGACGGTGGCGGCGGATAGCCAGTGGAGATTATAGCACCGGGTTCTTCGGTACTTTTAGCGACGTCTTATGCAAGGATCGGCGAAGTTATAAGCTTGTCATACTTCAGCGCTCGAGCGGCGGAAATGACGTATTTTGTTTAAGAGCGGGTGACTTTGAAATGTCCATAAGCATATTTTTGCTCCAGAAAAATCAAACAATGAAAGTACTGTCGTAGCTCAGTCGCTGATAACCCTAGTATTCAATAACTAAAAAAATGGATGGACAAAATGAATAATCATGGACGAAATGATGGACGAAATGAATAATCAAATTAATAACATGCGCGTTGGAAAAGTGAAATGGTGATGAAGGATGGTGCTGGAATAGTGAGTGATCTTTGAGAACGTCATGGTGGAATGTAATAGGTCTTCTGTAGACTTTGTGGCCATCCGGAGACTCACTGAAGCCAGGTCAGGCCATCATTTTGGGTATATTTCACTGGAATATGCATCATCGCGGTCCTGAGCCCCACCACTCGTCATTGACGTTGGATGCCTCTACAGGGTGGGAGAGGAGAACCCAGCAGGAGCAGCGGAGTGATCAGGAGAGCGGGCCATCGGGGAGTACCATCTGCCGGCGGGGAGGCCACGTGGACACGACAATCGATACGAATGTCATCCGACGGCCATCAATTCGGCGGCGGCCGCCCGTCCCGGCGGACCTAATTCTCGGGCGTAAATCAGCCGCCGGGCGCCGGCACTGCGCGCCTGGAGGTGTCGGCACCAGTCGCCACAGCGCGGCCAGTTCGCCGTCCGCCGCCGAACCGACCGCGCCTCTGATGATGGTCCTGTTATGGTTGAGGTTTATCTCGCTCCACCGTGGCGGAGAAGACTATAAATCAGTTTCGATTCGATGGATGAGCTCAGCCTGGATGTGTGTAGATTTATCCAGTCGGCAGGGCAGTAAGTCACAGGGTGGTGGGTCGGAGCGGGGCGAACCGATACGTCGTCAGCATACCTTTGACAGTGAGAAATGCATACAGATGGGCGCGCCCGAAGTCGTTCTCGGCCGCACAGATGTACTGGCCACTGTCGCTGATGAGAGTCTCGGAGAACCTCAGCAGCTTGGCGGACGTTTCGCCGGAGCTCTCCTCCAGAACGGCCAGCCTGCGACCGAGCGAACGCGACGTGACCGAGGGCACCACACCGGGGATCGACCTGCCGTCGTATCGAGCACGACAGAAACGGATGCAGCCCTGCAAATCTTATTTAGTATCGGTGATCGTAAATGCGCTGTAATGCGACAGCCGGCGCCAGATGTTGCAAATTGCATTCGGAAAATGTCATTCGAACGCTGGCGAAGGGTTTCATTTTAAACTCTGAGCCGCAGCGGCGCATTGATCGGAGGAAAATGGAAACCATTGCAGCCATTTCGGCCAGTGTTTGAACAAAAAGTTCACCGTCCAATTCGCTGACGGGTTTCCAGGTAAAGTCTATAGCGGATAGCACACATTTGGGGGAGATATCGCAAGTATCTTGTATGATATCGGGTAGATTTGGGGAGATATCGCAAGCATCCAAAGAAGAATGAAAATGTGTTTTGCGTGTAGGCTGGTATTTGAAACCAGCGCACCGCCTGCTTTCAGCCGGCAAGATGCCGTTGATTAGACCTGTCGAGCAGGGCGGCGATCGTGCCTTGCGGTACAGTATACCAGCGCAGGTGGTGTGACGTAGACTGTACCGCAGAGCGCGTGTGTCGTGCGGTACAGTCTACCAGCCCAGGTACTGGCGCAAACATGCCATACCAACCAACGTGGGACGTGACATTCCTTATTGGTGTAAAGGCATGCACCGGCTCGCGAATGCATAAGACCAATCAGATGCAGAGTACATATAGGCTCCTATAGATATTTGTATTCATATTAAAATATAAATAAATAGTAATAATTACGGTGGATAAATGAAACGTCCAACATATCAAGAGATGACCAAATTATACCTACACAACTATCTTACAATGATGGAGTAGCATCATTCGCTCTTGTCAACAAATGATTTCATTACTTTGTTATTGTCCTCGGCTGTGTGGCCCTAGCCGCTGCGCCACTGCGTGTTTGCACTGGTGAATGGCCTATTTTGGCAGGGTTGAGCCCTAACATGATGAGCGCATCTGTCATCCCCATACGGCGCTGAACAGTGGAAGGCGGGTCGGCGGCAGCGTGTCATTGAGAGACAGCACGCCAGCAGAACGGTCGCCGGCACACGCATAATTGGTTGGCCTATAGGCTGCAGGTAATCGGTACCGTTCTGAATGACGGTTCTATGTCAACCTCCACTAGCCCTGTTACGAACAATTATCTCGATCGATGCTAACACAACGAGCCAACACAGTTCCTGGCGCTGACACGTCCCTCTACGTGCTACCTACCTGTGGTCGCTGGCGAGGGCCAGGTCGCGACCTGACCTCATCCAGGTCACAGCCATTGGCCGGTCACCGATGACGTCACAGCGCACCTCGACCGGCTGACCTTGGATGACCCTGACGCTGGCAGGTGTGACCTTGACCTGAGGCGGCACTGGAAAACAGGGTGGCGCCGAGGCTCAGGCAGCGACACAGGGCAAATACTCGCGGTTTGACGTGATCGGATTTCAAAATGGGATATGGATAACGCTTAAATGGGATAACGCTTTGTACAGCTCTTCTAAAACATTACATGTAACGTTCCTAGCTAACGATCTTGAAGCTTGATATGATTGACGTTTTAGGTATAAGAATAGACCGAAATAATGGAGATCTCAGTTGCAGCAGACTGCGGCCAGGATACAAGTTGCAGAATTGAGATCAGACTCGGGTAATTTGATCACAATCAAGTTTTTCAAAGCCTTTCAGTTTATTTGGCTACTGGTAAATCCAGATGTTATCCTTCCTCGTTAACGGCTAACGCTGATGTCTATACACTCCTGGATTCATCCCTAGTGAAAAAGTCCTAAAGGATTTCGCCAGAATCCCCACAATCCTTAAGGATCCATAAGGACCCATAAGGATCAGATATGAAATCCTTAAGGACTCTACGGACCCTCTTGAATCCTTAAAGGGAGATAATGACCTTTTTCCGCAAAATCTGAGTTAGGATCATTTTCTGACAAAACACAACAAGTTATAATGTAAATTAAAACCATTTTGCTCAATGCGGTACCTTGCCGCAAATATCTCAACTTGAAGTCACGTTAGCGGGGAGCGCTGAAAATGACCGTTGAATAAGTACTTACATCACTTTTTGGTACTTGCATGTAATTTTGTAAAATGAGCGTATTCCTTACATTTGATCTTCATCACATCTAGTTAGTTAATGGTCGTCTATAGTGCCTTCAAAAGATATTCATGGTTTGGGGGTGGTTTATGTCTAAATTTACGCAACTATTTTTCCTGTTCATCATCTGAGGCCATATGCTGCTATTTTAGTAGCAACGACTCAATTTTGAATCGGTTGTTGTGATTAGTAGCCTCTTACCTTTTTTTACCTTCACCCGTGACCCGTGTTGATGTACCCTACCTTTCCTCACCCAGTAAAACTTTCCTCTATTTGCCCGCCCCTGTCCTGAATCCATCACTTTTTGTTAGTGATGTAATGCTTCCATTTTTCACCGAGCCGATTTCGTTTTGTTTTTATCCTTTCCAGTCAGTCTGGATCCATCTGTCGCCGTGTTACCGCTACCTGTAAAGTAATAAACCGGCAGAGAAGTTGACGTTGGAATTTCAAGTTGCTAACCAGAGGAATCGGCCTGTAATTTTAGCGTATCTACTACATAGTCCTCCGCGGCCGGATGACTGTTTTTTCAGTCATTTGCTTCTTTGTTCTTTGCTGATTGCTTTGAAGATTTGCGCTGTGATTTGACATCAAGATGCCTGACAAGATGAGTGAGGAAGTGGAGGTGTTGGTGAAGGACAGAACTCTGCTTAGAGGTAAGGCCACAAAGCTGGCCCGTGACTTGAAAGACTACAGGGCAGGAGTAGTCGATCAAGATGACTTGGCGTACAAAATTCATGTTTTGGAGCAGCTAGAGCAGAAGATGGTTTCTTTGCAGGATGTTCTGACTGTCAAGGGAGTGTTTGACGAGAGTTCACATTTAGATGGCATCAGGGAGGAGGTTTTCAAGGCAAAACGTCATCTGTCAAGGATTGAGAATGTGTCTGCTCAACCAGCCCCAGCTCAGTCTGACTCTACTGACCTGAGGGCATCTGATGTAAAGATTCCAGTATTTTCTGGAGATCTGTTACAGTGGTCGGAATTCTGGGACCTGTTTGAGGTTGGTGTGCACACCAATTCAAGGTATGTGAATGTACAGAAGTTCAGCATACTAAAGAGCCACCTCTCTGGTTTAGCACTGCAATGTGTTAAAGGTATACCAGTGTCTGATGCTTGCTACCAGTCAGCTGTGGATGCATTGAAAGACCGATTCTGTAAAATCGAGAGAGTGAAGGAGGAGATCATGAAAAGGTTGTTGAACATGCCCAGTGTCAGTGACGACCTATCTGCCATGAGATCCTTCATAGACCATCTGATGTCACATGTGAGGACACTGACCGCGATGGGAGTAAGCTGTGCTAACCTGTCGAGCCTGCTTCTTCCCATAGCCAAGGGAAAGCTGCCAGAGTCGTGGAGGCTCGAATGGGCGCGCCAGCACCAGCCGGATCCAGGGTTGGAGGACTTCCTCGGGTTTCTTCGCAAGGAGATGGACATGAGGGAGGAAGCCAACATCGGCGCCAGGCATCCTGTCCCTCCGGAACGGAGCCCACTGCACTCAGTGAGTATGCTGGCGGTGAGTCGGAACCGAACAACCCCTGCCAGTGCTGCATGGACCTGCGTGGCTTGCCAAAAGGATAAACATGGCCTGAGCAAGTGTCTTGACTATCAGAGAATGTCTGTTGATGATAGATGGCTTGTAGTGAGGAGGGCTGGTTTGTGCTATCAGTGCCTGGGGCCGCACTTTGCTCGTGACTGCCGCAGCTCCAACTGCCGTGTGTGTGGAGAGCGACACCACACCAGCCTCCACAGTGAGCCAGGACGCCAGCCCGGAGCTGGTACCCGTGACCGACGGCCGCCCGCACACCGAGCGGACAGCCGTCCTCAGCAACTGCCTCCCTGCCGCGAGGGGAGCTACCTACCAGATCTGCCACCGCCAACGCCAGTTGGTCAGCAACCTCAACGTCCAGGTTGGTCGCCCGCTGTTCCCCGCCAGGCCATGAATGTCGCCGCTGCTTGCGCTGTTGATGTGCCACAGCCAGTCTTACCAACGCCAGTCTCACCACAGCCGCTAGTGCCATCATCCAGCACTACCGCTAGGGTGAATACCGCTTGTGCTATGCCCGACGTGCATATGACGCCGTGTGCTGTCGCTCACTGCTCACCTGATGCTTGCCTGCTGGAGGCTGCTCCGTCTGACCGACCTGCTGCATGCGAAAACTTGTGTTACATGCAGACAGCTCTGGTGGAGGCGTCTGGACCGCGGGGTACATGCCAGCTTCGCGTTCTTCTCGACGGCGGCTCGGACTCGTCGTACGTGAGGACATCTGCAGCGGAGCTACTCGGTCTGCCCACGGTGGGGAGAGGTGTGTTCGCCTGCCTGGGCTTCCAGGAGCGGCTCGAGGAGCCGAGGATGTATGAGAAGGTGAGGCTGTCTCTGCGGAGCCGTCACGGTGGGGAGCCTCACGTCTTCGATCTGTGGAAGACTGATCGTCTCTGTTCCCAACTGACCCCCGCCCGACCGCCTACTGCCGTATTTATACCGCATCTTCTGCTTGCTGATGATTTTGAGGGTGGGCCGGTGGACGTGTTGATCGGCGCCGACCTGATGTACAGAGTTGTGTTGTGGGAGCAGGTGAAGCTGACTGACCATCTCAGGGCCCTGGAGACTGTGTTCGGCTACGTCCTGCACGGCCGAGATGGGTCACCGGTGGACTGCGAGCCGGTGGACTGCGCGTCTGTGAAGTACGCGCTCCGTTGCTGCCGGCTTCCGTCGCCAGACTTCAAGCCGGAGCAGCTCTGGAGTCTGGAGGCGCTCGGCATCTCCGGGGACGAGGACGAGAGATCACCGATGAAGCCGAAGTGGAGTGACGCCGAACAGAGGTACGAAATGAACCTACTGTGGAAGTCTGATGATCGCCCCCTCTCTAACCTCAGCTCAGCAGCAGCCCGGATCGGACGCATGGAGGGACGGCTCACAGTCCCCGAGCGGGAAGCGTACCAGAGACACCTGGAAGATCTGTATAGAGCCGGCGTGATCGAGACGCCGCCCAACGATGACCTACAAGGGTTCTACCTGCCGCACCGCGGCATCTGGCGCGGTGGAAAGCTGCGGGTGGTCTTCGACGGCTCTGCCCGGGACGCCACTGGCCACAGCCTGAATGACTACCTGGAGCCGGGAAGCAATCTGCTCAGACGTCTGCCTGCCGTGCTGCTCAACTTCAGACGAGACGCCGTGGGAGCTCAGACAGACATACGTGCTGCCTTTCACCAGGTTTCGGTGTCCGAGGAGGACCGAAAGTACCTACAGTTTCTGTGGGACGGACAGCGTCTTCGTTTCCGCAGAGTTCCGTTCGGTATAACATGTTCCCCATTCATGCTGCTGCAAACTATCTCTGTTCACCTGGACCTGTACTGTGGGGAGGAGCCGGGTCTGTGCGAGAAGTTGCAATGTGGCCTGTACATGGATGATGTGTGCACCTCCTTCTGCAGCAGAGCCGAAGCTGAGTCGAGCATGTCGCGGGCGGAGGAGATCTTCCGCGACGCAGGCATGGAGTTGCACAAGCGGCGCATCTCCGGTGACGCTGACAGCGAGGCCAACGTTCTGGGTCTTCTGTGGAACCCCGCCACGGACCTGCTCGCAGTGAGTGTACCTGGCTTCCATGTGGCCAAGACCAGGAGAGAGATGCTGTCCCTGCTGAGTAAGCCGTTTGACCCGCTCGGTGTACTCTCTCCGTGGCTTGTTGTCGGCAGGTCTCTGTTCCAGAGAACGTGGGGAGTCGGATGCACGGTCAGCTGGGATGAGGAGCTGCCCCCACAGCTACAGGAGGAGCTAGCAGAATGGCTCACACACGCACCAGACCGAACTGTATGGTTCCCCCGCGCGCTGCTGACGAATGACTGTGACGTCACCTACCATGTCTTTTGTGATGCCTCAAAGAAAGCGTATTGTTGTGTCATCTACGCTGTGCAGGGTGGGGAGTCCAGGCTGCTCATGTCCAAATCTCGTCTCGCGCCCCTGACTCCCGCCCTCAGCGTGCCCAGACTTGAACTGATGGGCGCCCTCATCGGCGCCAGGCTGATGGACTTTGTCAGACAGGCGTTGAGTCTGGAGAGCCCACAAGTCGTCTATTGGACCGACTCCATGGACGTCATCTTCTGGCTGAAGAGCAAGAAGAAGCTGAAGCTGTTCGTGCAGAACAGAGTGACCACCATCCTCCAGTTGACTCGAGCGGAGCAATGGCACCACGTAAGAGGACAAGACAACCCGGCCGACCTGGGGACGAGAGGTATGTCCATGACCGCTCTGGAGAAGTGTGATCTGTGGTGGCGAGGACCGACATTTCTCCGACAGGGACCTGATACCAGGATCTGCTGTGGACCGACAGTCGAGGCCGACAGTCTGCAGCCGTCTCAGGAGGCCACCAGTGAAGTGAAGCTGCAGAAGCCCCCGTTAAAGCTGACCCTGCTGACGACGCGAAGTGACACAAGTGAGACCCTACCGTTTGACATTACGTCATGTTCTACCCTCACACAGGCTGTGCTGAGGCTCGCGTGGGTGTTCCGTTTCGTCACCAACAGCCGCCTACCGAGGGAGGAGCGCCGGACGGGTCCGCTGACGCCCGAGGAGAAGAGACTGAGCCTCCGCTTCTGGATCAGAGAGGCACAGGCCCGTGCCTACAGAGAGGAGACCAACGCCGTACGTGCCGGTAAACTGCTGCCGGCCGGCTCACCGCTTCAAAAGCTGCATCCACAGCTAAGTGACGATGGCGTGCTGGAGGCGACGCTGCGCAGTGGGGAGCGGGCTGTACCTGTGCTGCCCGACCTGGCCCATGTCACCACTCTGATTGTCGATGACGCGCACCGCCTCTGCTTCCACCAGGGGACGCGGGTAACCCTCTCCCTGCTGACTGCTGAGTACGCGGTGAGGAGACGCACGGTGCGTCGAATCGTTGAAACCTGTCGCCGATGCCGTCGTTACCGATGCGTACCGTACCGATCACCTGAGGGAGCACTGCCCAACTTCAGAACACAGCCGAGCCGTCCATTTGCCAAAGTCGGTGTCGATTTTTTCGGCCCACTGTACGTTGATCAGAGCCAGGCGAAAGTGTGGGTGCTTTTGATAACATGTGCCACTTCCCGTGCGGTGCACTTAGAGCTTGTTCGCTCACAGGCCACCGCTGACGTGATCCTGGCGCTGAGACGGTTCTGCGCCATCCGAGGGACGCCAGCTCTGGTGTACAGCGACAACGCTCGGACGTTCCGGGCCTTGCTTGGCCACCTACCCCGGTCGGTAACGTGGAAGTTCATCCCTGAGGCTGCCCCCTGGTGGGGAGGGTACTGGGAGCGTTTGGTGGGCGTGACAAAGAAGGCTCTTCGCATCACCCTACATCAGTGCCACCTGACGTTTGAGGAGTTGTCTGCCACGATGTATGAGCTCGCTTTTTTCATAAACCTGCGCCCCCTCACCCAGGGCGATGGTGAAGATCTCCTTACCCCCGCCCACCTGCTGTTCGGCGTGACGAGCATAGACGGTGTCTTGTGCCCAACATTGAAAGAGTGTTCCATCAGCAGGGCCTGGCGTCACCAAAAGCGGGTCTGCGACCATCTGATCCGGCGGTGGTGTGATGAGTACCGCAACGCTCTCCGCTGCTGGAGCGTCTCGCCCCGTGGACGACCTAGCCGTACACCGCGCGTGGGAGACGTGGTGCTAGTCCACAGTGAGAGGCCGCGCGGCCGGTGGCCTGTGGCGCGAGTGACGCGGCTGCTGGCGGGACCGGACGGCCACGTGAGGGCCGCCGTCATCAGCCTGCGCGGGCGGAGCACTCGCCGCCCTGTCAGCCGCCTGTTCCTGCTGGAGGCGGCGGACTGAGTCGGACTGAGTCGTACCGGTGCAGTGATCGGGACGAGTTACGTCGCCGCGAACTATCGCAGAGTGCTGTGCCTTTTGTCGTATTCATCGTTCTGTTTGTTTTTCGAAATCGGTCGTGCGCTCGATTTCGAGTGGGGAGTGTGTTGTGATTAGTAGCCTCTTACCTTTTTTTACCTTCACCCGTGACCCGTGTTGATGTACCCTACCTTTCCTCACCCAGTAAAACTTTCCTCTATTTGCCCGCCCCTGTCCTGAATCCATCACTTTTTGTTAGTGATGTAATGCTTCCATTTTTCACCGAGCCGATTTCGTTTTGTTTTTATCCTTTCCAGTCAGTCTGGATCCATCTGTCGCCGTGTTACCGCTACCTGTAAAGTAATAAACCGGCAGAGAAGTTGACGTTGGAATTTCAAGTTGCTAACCAGAGGAATCGGCCTGTAATTTTAGCGTATCTACTACATCGGTCCCGCCGACTGCACAATAAAAGAAGATAGATACAACACTTTTGCGGCATCACTGAAAAACTTATGCAGTACTGTTATCAAAATTATCATAACACCGTTCGACAAACCTGAAGTCTTTTTGAAATAAATATGCTTGTATTTTTCGCTTCAGGCTCTGAGGCCAAAATAATGAATTTCGTAGTCGCAATCGCAAGATTTGGCTGCGTTTCTGGCGCATGCCGTTCATTTGTGGCGCAAAATAATACTTGGAAACAAAGAAGAGTAGGCACTATGTACGAATCTAATTAATTCTAAACCGAATTAACTCTAATTCAAATTAGAATCCTTACAACCAAGCAACGACAAGGCGATAACATAAACAAAAACCCAAGCGTCGCTGTTTGAAACAAAAGCGCCATATACCGCGACTTTTTTTATAGAGAAGGACAAGAAGGACAACGCATTTCGGTGGGTGTTACAAGTACTGCAAGTACTGCTTCTTTTTTGCAAAAATAAAAACCTTTTTCACATACGAAAATGTGCTAGGAAATTTTCATATTTTATAGAAACTACAGTAGAAATAGTATAGATGTCGAGTAATTTTTATTAAAGAAAAAAGAAAGCTAATTATCTCCCTTTAAGGACGCATTCGCCGATCCGTAAGGATTTTAGGGCGATGTTTGGTATCCTTAAGGATCGCTCAGTATTCCGTAAGGAAATTGCTACTTGCTAGTGTCGCTTAATCCTTCAGGATAGCCGATGCAGCCAGTACGTCAATCATTATGGAGTGATTGAATCATCCCTACTATTATTCCGTGCTCCGTATCCGATAATTTCTTAGCCATAGCCCATATGACATATACGGCATGTAAAAACTTTGTGACGGACCAAAGCAGCGTTCGCTATCAGCATAGGCGCGGGAACCGGGAGGCGAGGGGGGCAGTGGGAGCAGCTTGCCCCCACTTTTGTGCTGAACTTTGAAATTAAATATTTTCGATTTATGGCATTTCTCGATATTGCGAGTGCCAAAACCGGTGATTGTGAGCCAGGGATAACAATTTGCCTATCTTAACTCAGAATTAATATTCAGCTGGGATGGTCACCTAATGTCCACGCTGGGTTCACCCAGACTCCAAATCGGATAGACGAATAGTTCTGATAAAAAGTACCTATTGGTATCTCAACCAAGTGCCACAGTATGCATGTATCGTATGGCCTTAGTGCCACCGGTGCCACAGTGTTTGCGCTGTGCTCTTTCAGAGACCGTACCGACTGGAATTTAGCGACCGCTGACCGTTTTAAAGACTGTACGGGCGGCAGCGGGCGGTCTGATCCTCGCCTCCGGCAAGAGGGGAGACCGCGCGTCCCCCTGTCGCATTGTGCCGCTGCCGCTCGCGGGATGCGGACGAGTCTGTTGAGTGTGTTGTGCCGTCTGCCGTCTCCTCTTCGGGCCATGTAAGTCTCTGCCATGCTGTGTATCAATGAGATAATTGATCCTAGTTATTGCATTGATAGATACAAAAACCGGCGCTGAAACGTAGATAACCCGAGTAATTTCCGGCCCATCTCTCTCCTGTCGGTGCTCTCGAAGTTATGTGAAAAAGTTGTTTGTATGCAGCTGTCGTCCTTTCTTGCTACTAATCACCTGTTGGTCAATTCGCAATATGCATATAGAGCTGCTCACTCGACGGAGGATGCTTTGACCGATGCTGTCGAGTGGATGACGCGGCGCATCGACGAGGGTGACATCGTAGCTGTAACTTCAATTGACTTGAGCCGCGCTTTTGATAGCGTTGATCACGACGTCCTCCTTACGAAACTCTGCTGGTATGGAATAGATCCGAATTGGTTCCGAAGCTACCTGTCTGGTCGGCAACAGGTAGTGAGAGGCGGGTCTCTATCTTTGCCTCTGTCTCACGGTGTTCCACAGGGCTCCTTAGTTGGTCCCATCCTCTTCAGCATCTTCACAAATGATCTTCCAGCATATGTTCCCCACGGACGCTTGGTTTCTTATGCCGACGACACACAGTTACTAGATTCCACCGACCCCGCATCTCTGTCTACCCTAAAAGCGAGACAGGAGGAAAGCCTCAGTGCTGTTCTCAACTACTTCACGTCAAACTCTTTGAAAATGAACCCATCGAAGACTAGCCTTCTCATTTCTAGCACCCCCCAGAACCTGAAGAAAGCCTCAGCTTTCCATTTAAACCTACCGGGACATGTACTCCAGCCATCTTCTCAAGTGAAGATGCTAGGTGTAACCATTGATCCCAGCCTATCCTGGGAAAAGCACATTTCCAGTGTCGTCAAAAAATGCAATGCCGTCCTTATTTCTCTCTACAAAATTCGACATCACCTCTCAGCTGATGTTTTGAAACTTCTCATTCAATGTCATGTCTTCCCCCACATCATTTACTGCCTCTCAGTCTGGGGCGGGGCTGTAGGTTGTCACCTCAAGCGGGTGCAGAAAGTCATTAATTTCGCAGCTAGAATCGTATCTGGGGCGAAACACCGTGATCACATTTCCCCCGTGTTGTCTGCACTGGGCTGGCCCAAAATCACGGATTTAGTCACCTATCGCGACAACATTCGTGTTTTCAGAGCGCTGAAGGACCCGCTCGCTCCCGCGGCATTACGCACTTTGTTCACAACACGGGCGGCTGTGTCTGCGCGCGCCACACGCTCCACGCTGTCGGGTGCATTAGAGTTACCAAATTATCGCTTATCAATGTCGAGACGAGCTTTTTCCTACCGAGCGGCAACCTCCTGGAACCACCTCCCACCCACCACCACTAGCTCTGGAACACGGCCCCCGCCGAAGTTAGTTGGTAGCACTGCTGCTCCACGGCGTACATTTCCTACCAGCCCATAGGGTTTACATGTTAAATGGCCTGTTTTCGGCGAGCGATATCTCGGTCAACCTTTGATGGAATCAATGGTTCTTAGTCTCAAATGATAGATCGATGAATTTTCTTTCGACAATTCCTCTACCATTTTTCACGAAACCCAGCCAATCTTCTACGGCGTACAGGGTAAAGATTTCTCTGCACGCCAGCACCCCCGATCCGGCTCTCCGATCGTCGGCGCGCGGTCCTCGGTAGCGCAGTCGGTAGCGTATCGGGCTACGGATCCGAGGGTCGTGAGTTCGAATCCTGGGAGCGCCGCGTGATTTCGGCTAGAATTGAATGATGTAGATTCTTGAATGTTTGCATAATCAATTATTAATAGCTAATTGAATGTATCTGCCCACTAACCGGCCCCTAAAACCTGTTATTTAAGAAATTTAATAAATGAATGTCACGTGCGCGTCACGACTGCCAACCATAAGCGCTACCATATTCTAGTTGGAACTAAGTTTTTGCTAGTACCGACCACATATAGTAGGTTTTCTAGTAGTTATACTAGAAATTCCTACCAAAGTTCGTCCTACCCTTCACTCAATATACCCTGCTGGAACACACGCTGAGTTTCTTCGCCACCTTGCTGCCTAGCGCTTTAGCCTTCTGTCATATCCGTGAAAATTGTGACGCGCTGGCTGCTCTGCACTCATCAGTCTACTGCGGCAGTGTTTGTGCATGTGTGCGTGTACGTGTGTGTGTGTGGGGGGGGGGGACGGGCTAGGTGTACCATGTCTTTTGTGTGTGTGATCGAATCAAATACTAAACCATGCAATGGAATGATTCGAAATACATTGAACTGAACGTTCACTTCAATTAATGGCGATCGTCGTCGTCATTCATTTGGCTGCGGCAAATGAAAGTACTACCGGTAGCGTCTTTTAGCGTCATGCCTTAGAACGAGGCCCAGGTAAATATGAATAATAGAATGGATTCAGGGTAGTAGGACGTAGGTGCATATGTGATGCATTGCTAAATGAACATTCACAGGCATCTAAGCTGGAAATGACTGAACTGAATTTACTCAAAGGCTCACCAATATTCTTTGGCTGGGACTGCAGTCTAAGCCTAAGAGTAGAATTCGTGAGCCTTTGAGTAGGTATTGTTGATCAGTATATTACTGTTATTACATAGGAATATCCGCCTTGTTACAGGAACGCAGGATGCGAGACTCGACAGGCGACGGGCGACTCAACCGCTCAAGATGTGTAGAATGTGGATGGCGAAGGAGCGGCGGCCGAGGACGTGTGACGTGATAATATCTGAAGCGTGGCTGACTCGAAAAAGTGTAGACTTATCTTCATGTAAATATGTTTTTCGGAAGTCCTCGGCTCATATTTCTCGGAGCCTCAGCTGCAACCTGCGAATGCCTAGAGCTCCATATATGTATACCCGGTCGCCTGTGGTTGGCGGCTGCTCCATTCCTGGCAATGAAAAATGGCTAAATGTGCTTGTTTTAAGTAAAAAATATAGCACCAGAGACCGTACAAATGTGTTTGCTAGGGTTTGATCCTTACGGATTTATATATCGTTCATTAAGGAAGAGCCTCAAAATCCTTGAGGATTGTCGCCAAGATCCTTAAAGATTTTGCTACAAATCTTTACGGAAAAGTCACAAAGTCCTTAAAGATTATTACCAATGTCCTTAAAGACATTGCTAGAGATCCTTAAGGATTTAGCTAAAAATCCTTACGGATTTTCCGCAGAATCCTTAAGGAATTTCTAACAAAATCCTTAAGGATTGTGTATCAATTTCGTACAAGGATTTTGTTAAGGATCGTCCTTAAGAAATACATAGGACTGTCCTTAAGGATTTTTTCACTAGGGATATGAGCTGCATGAATAGTAAAACTTCAAGCGCAAAGTCAAGTTTATGTTTATCAAAGAATTGCTCGTTTTAGGAAGCTAATTTCTCTAAGTGCTCTCATAAGCTTAGCTGCAAGCGAAATAATCGTCAGCCGCGTTCATGCAACATTTTCATTCGCTGACAACACATGGTGGAATATATTCATCCACAATAAATAAATATAGATAATGTTTGCGATCAGAATGGGCGTCAATCATAACAAATTGTCGTTAACGTCAGAAAATAACCACCTTAGGTGAGATGTTACGGTGATGATGGCTGCAGGACACGCCATGGGCCTCCCGATATGGGCCAAACGGTGGACTGGACGGCGACGGGGAACACTGAGGACTGAACCGCGAGGGTGACTGGTAGGGAGGGATCAGGTGCTACAGGAGTGTGCTCCTGACCGGACCGGACTTTGATCGGTACTGGCAAAACACATGATATAGCTGCCGAGCTGAGTTGTGAATCATGAATCTATTATTTCCCTTGGTTGTCATTATGCATGCATTATAACGAGCCCGTTGCACATAACGAGCTCTAACAGAGCCCAACTGAAAGGGGAGCTGCCGCGTGTTACAATGACGCCTTGACACCGACAGCAATATACGATAGCTACTTTTCCATTTATTTTCCAGGCAAATAAATACTTTAATTTGAATCTTCGAAATGGTGGTCAAGGGCACGGGTATGCACTGAATTTTCCTCATTTCTGTTTTGAAACTTACAAATTTCTCCCATATCTGTCTCGCTGGTATTAAAATCTCACTCACCTCTGACTCTGATATGAATTGTCTTTGTGAGCCGTGGCGACACGCCGTTGACCGCCTGGCACGTGTAGGTGCCAGAATGTGTGCCATTGATATCGGTCAGTAGCAGCGTGCCGTTCCTCTGGGGCAGGTCAGTCCCAACACCTGTCGAAAGTCACAGCCACCATCAGTTACGGTTACCCGCCAGTGATTCGACAGGTTCCAGACGATACATCTTCAGCATTTCCAGCTCCGTCATGTGTTGCACATTTATAAAATGTTTGTCTTTATTCAACTGAATTAGTCAGTCAAACGTTCACTTAATAAAAAAATCCCAATTAATCTCCTATTACTGTTGTCAAAGAAAAAAATAATTTACGAGTATAATCATCATCTTTTTAGCAACTAAGCCAGACTAGTATCAAGTTTAAGAGTCTTACGCTGAACCGTCCTTTTATATCACATTCTTCACTTCTTTCTGCTGACTCATTGTTCTTTTTCCCAATGATCACCTGATTTATGGACGGCCATTGGCATGCCGTCAGCACATGCTGGTGACCCTAATTTTTGCGTTCAGCCTGCAAATGACGCCGCTGGACCGAAGCACTGCAGCGGTCCGTAAAAGATTAATCGACACAGCTCTCAGTGGGTGTTTTCATACAGGGTGGACCAAAAAGGATGGAAACATTTTAAACTCGTATAAAACATGTATCATTGCATGCATGTGACTGGGAATGATACCAAACAAGAGTACATTTCGTGGACATTCATAATGGCATCACTCTCATATGCTTTCTCTCGTTTTCAGTCTCTCACAGCAGATGTTCGAAATGACCACCTTCGCCAGACAGGCACAGAGCGATCAGCCTGGCTGCTGACACGATAGCCCGCTTGTATGGCTCACACAGCCTTGCTGATCGCTCTCTTCAGTTCAGAGGCTTTCTGAACCATCCTTGTAGACCTGGTCCCTGAGATGACCCCACAGTAAAACATCCATAGGGGTCAGGTCGGATGAGTAGGTAGGCCAGTTCCGACTGGCACCGCGGGATATCAGCCGGTCACCGAAGTGGTTTTCGATGCACTTGAGCGTTGTTTTTGCGATGTGAGGAGGCGCACCGTCTCGCTGGAACCACATAAGGTCTATGATGAGGCTGCCATGCTTCGTTTGGACTCGCTCTCAGAACTTTCTCGGCGCCGCCTGGTATGCGCTGTTGATTGACGGTCACAGTGTCGCCGCTCCCTTCCTCGAACAAAGGTGGACCCACAATTCCTTTTCCGCTGAGGGCACACCATTTCGGTGACCTTGCTGCTGTGCAGTGACTTCTTTATCATCTCATCTCAAGGGCCAGGTCTACAAGGAAGGTCTCTGTGATCTGAAGAGAGCGATCACCAAGACTGTGTGAGCCATACCAGCGAACATGTGTCGTCGGGCTATCGCGTCAGCCACCAGACCGGCCGCTCTGTGCCTGTCTCGCGAAAGTAGTCTCTTCGAACATTTGCTGTGAGAGACTGAAAACGAGAGAAAGCAGATGAGAGTGATGCCGTTATGAATTTCCACGAAATGTACTCTCGTTTGGTACCATTTCCAGTCACATGCATGCAATACTGCATGTTTTATGCGAGTTCAAAATGTTTCCATCCTTTTTGGTCCACCCTGTAGAGCAAGTAGGATTCGATGGACCATTTGTCCAGCGTCTCGCAATAATCCAGCTAGGTGTCGGCTCAACAGCCGTAAGTAAGAGTTCTAATAACAGCTAAGCCGATGAAGGGTGGCATTTTCTAGTGGAAAATGCTTATAAAGGTCCCAATATCGGATTGCTTTCCTCTCGGTCGAGGTATTTTCCCCAGTTTCTGATATGCGGCGCTAGATGATACATGAAAATACCAGCAGGAGTTGAAGTGTTATGGCAATTTATGGAAGCTGTTATTGGGATGTCTGTTCAATATATGTAACATGTAACTTACTGAATGAAACTGCTGCTTTCTTTTCAAACGGACCTCTCGGTAATAAAAATAGAAAAGTAAAAAAGTATGGTTTAAAAGTGTTTGGTGATAGGCTTTAAATATCATCTTAGGATTCCCGATACTGGGTTACTTCTATTTTGATGAGAAGGTCACCTATCCTGAAAACGAAATGTATTTGATGCGCGCGACTAACAGTGGCGCGCAGCAAAGCCTTTCTCTGCCCGCGGGCGCAAACTGTAGCCTGTAGCGACACCTACCGCACGGCGTGAGCACCACCGGCCCTCAGGCCTCAGTGAGCGCCCGCAGTGCCACGTGACAATATGTGTTCTGTGTGCTTTCGGAATTCCTTTGCGTCTGGTGCGCACCAACAGTGCGGTGCGCCGCTTTTCAATTACAGGCGAGTCCTTCCCGTGTCGGGATTATATCTAGTGCCTAGTCTTACGGCCCGGTGCGGCCGTCTCGTTGTCTGCTTCCCCGTCTCCGGCGGCGCGTCAGTGCGGCCGGTTGGTGACCCCGGCCCTGCACGCCTGACTCCGCTAACGGCACAGCCGCTGACAGTAGTTTTGTCGCGGTTTTTCTATCTTCCCGTGGCACTGTGCGGCAGTTTCGCTTCGGGCTGCGGCGCTGTCCGCGACTACGCTCGACTCCCGTGGGCGGCCTGAGCTAATCGTTTTGCATAGACCACTAATCCGCGGCCATCTCTGTCCCTTTGTCCGGCGCGTCCCCCTACCGGGCCGCTTCCCCTCCCTCGCTCCCTCCCCACCCCGGGGGTGGGGATGGTCGTACCGATACGCGCCGCCAGGCGGCGGCACCGACCGGACCGAGTGCCGGCGACGCGGCCGCGAGCGTCGGCGGTCTGCTGCGCTGCGCGGCGCGACTCGGGATGCTGGAGCCGCAGCCGCAGTCTCCGTATCTCGCCGGCGCGCCTGGGCGCACGTAGACTTATGGCAACCTGGCGCCCGGGCGCATACAGTTTCGTCAGCTAGGCTCGTTCCGGTGGCTTTTTCATGTTCAAGGGGCGGGGTTTCACGTGCATGTATTGCCAGTCCAGGCCGTCTTCAATTTTTTTTCTTACTTTTACAGATTCCTAAACCGTGACCTGGATCGCAGTGATTTCTCGTGGCTTTTTCAGACCGGACAGTATGTTTTTCGCAAATTGGTCTGTTTCGACCAAATATACTCTACGTACTCCTCACTTCTTGTCACCAGTGTGCTTGCTTTCATCCAAAGTACCCATGGACCATGTGTCATATGTTGTGCATGTTTTTATACTTCACGGCTATGTTCCTGCCTGGTTGATCTGACCTTGCCCCCACTACAGGGATCTAACATTCATGTCGCATTTCATACGTAATTGTGCGCGGTCGTCACCGAGTTTATGACGCGAGACGCTCCATGCGAGACAATACCTACAGTCCAGGCTACCAACAGCCCAATTTTTGGGCATGTTGCCAACACTGCTTCGACGCCGTTTTCCGGAGTCCGAGGTGACCCTGCGTGCCTCGTGTCCTACACCCGTTTTCTTGAACGACGTCACGCTCATTTATTTCCACAATGAAATGGTGTCGCTAGGGGTAGCCAGTAAGAGTTGGTAGCATTAGGCTAAATGGGCGCTCAAAAACTACCACCCCATATGGCTCCTAATCTATGTTAAATCATTTCTTTCAAGCAAGCCTCACACGTTCCCCAATGCAAAAGATGAGGGACGTGTATAGGTGCAAGTGCAATGTTGTATATGTATAGTGCAAGTTGCGTTTGCACGTAAAAATGTTGCGACATATTTCACATTTACTGGCTCAAACAGCTCCAATACTCCTTTCTTTTTCTCTCACAGATTATCGGGCTGTTCGTTCACTAAGCAATATGCTCCCATACATCTGAAAATCTCGTGGTAGAAGAAGACCTGGATCAAACGGTCGGCGATGCTAACGGAGCTGAGCGATAATCAGGTCCTCTGGAAATTGGATCTACTATGTACATTGTACATATATAATGAAATTCTCTGAATGCAATATGTTGATTACCAACCTTTACGTTAGACACAGAGTGAACCATTTCCCTTAAAGGGCCTACACCAATTTTTACAGAAGTATTTTTTTTTAACACGACCGATAGCCTGGTTACCTATCGATGGTGGCTTCGTTGTGAAAAGCTCACGTGACGCGTTTCAACTTCAACATTGGCCAGCGCAAACCATCCGCTCACTCGATCTTATGTACATTTTGACCTTCTGTTCACTCTTCCCCCTCGCTCGGCGGCGCATGTGCGCCGCCCGCTCAGCTCGCAGCTGTCTCGGCCTGGGCGCCGGGCGCGCCCTGTTGGGTTGTCCAGTCGATCAGCGGGCTGGCCCTGGCGCATGTCTTTTTTTTCTCGCCGGCGGCGTCCGGTCAGTTTTTGGTTGGCTTGGGTCACCCGTAGGTACCCCGAGGAGTGGCGCACCGGTCGGCGACTTATAACCAAGCTGCATGTTTATCGCTAGCGGCGGCCGGTCGGTCATTGGTTGGCTTGAGGGCCACATGCCCCCCTAGCGGCGCACGTCCGTCCTGTGCTGTCGGCCGCCGCGCAGTCGCCTGGGCGCTGTAATAATATAACGCAGGTGGCGGGTCGGCGTTTTTGCTTTTTTTTTCCTTTTTTACAGCTACGACAGGACATTGTCGCCAGCGGCGAGCGTTTTCGTTTGTGAGGGGCCTGGTGCACCCTGTGGGTTTCGATCGGCAATCTTTGACCCAGCGCGCATGCTCCTTGCCGGCAGTGACCGGCCGGTCAGTCAGTGGTAGGCCTGAGGGCCCGACGCGCCCCGAGGGGTGTCATATCAGTCGCGAGCGTGCATGCTTCTCGCCAGCGGTGATCGGTCGGCTGTGGCAGGCCTGAGGGCCCGACGGGCACTGCGGGGTGCCCCACCAGGTCGCGAGTTGACCCAGCGTGCATGCTTATTGCCAGCGGTGCAGTCGGTCGGCAGTGGCAGGCCTGAGGGCCCGACGCGCCCCGAGGGGTGTTTTATCCGTCGCGAGCGTGCATGCTTCTCGCCAGCGGTGATCGGTCGTCTGTGGCAGGCCTGAGGGCCCGACGCGCCCTGTGGGGTGTATCATCGGGCAGCGGGTTGACCCGATGTCGTGCATGTTTTCTCAAGGTGGCGTTATGTCGGTCAGCGGTTGACTGAGGTTCTACCGGCCCGGACGGGGCTTATTCCTAGGCTGAAT